TGTTTTTTTTTTTTTTTTCCCTCCTCTAAGTTCAGGAGGTGTTTTGGGTGAAACGGAATCTCCACATTTTGTTAGAACTGTTTCTCTCTTAAAAAAATAATTGTGTAGCTTTACCCAGTGCTTGCCTGTGCTTTGCAGGAAGTGAGATATGTGACAAAGAGCAGCCTTGCTCTTTAACCTCCAATTCCCAGAACAGTAGGAAGGAAATAAGAAGAGTGCTTTAAGAAGAAACATGCTGCACTCTAGGCTGAAGCAGTGGTGCCTACGCAGAGTTGAATGGTGTGGGTTTGGAAGAAAGAACTCCTAGAAAACTTCAGCCATGTCCTTCTCCTTCCCTCTGTTCCTTAGGGCATCATATTTTTCTTCCTCTTAAAATAATTTTCTTCTTTCCAAAAAGTGATATAAAGGATTACATCATCATAAAAAAAAATTAGAAATCAAAGGAGACCAAATACGCTGTTTTTTTTCCACTGTCAACACCCTGCAATACTTAATTCCTAATACAAGAGGGTGCTGTATAAACGTATCCTACGTGCCAAAAAATCTCTTGGCTATAGAGGAAACTTGCCAGTAAGTTACCTGATAAGAACAATTGAATTAGACCTTGTGACTGTGTATGGACAGAAAGATAAAGACATGAATCAGCTGTGCGTGCATCCGGCGGTGAAGCTACTTTCCGGTAGATTTTACAGAGGTCCGTTACCAAAAGCAACCAAAGTTCTACTTGTGCTGTCTAGTCAGCATTACTTAACAATACGCTACAGAAACAGTTTATTCCAGACCTCAGTAGGGATAACAACAAAGGGGGAAGGTAGATGTGATGAGCATGGAAGAATGACAAGAAAACAATTTTTCTACCAATGATTCCTAGCGTTCTGGCTTGATCTAATCTTTCTGTGAAAGAAATGGTTGAGAGCACAATGTAAGATAGGTTAAAACACATCTGTTGCAAATTTGAAAGAGACTGAGAATGGGCAGTAACTTGATGAAGTTGAGTTCACTTGAGGAAGTTAATTTTTATTTCTTGCATCTTGATGTTTTTGTTTGGTGGAAGTTATGAGAAATCCTAAAGGGAAGTGTGATGGAATGACCAATTTCCAAAAATGCTTGCAGTATAAATGTTTTTATCTCTTTAAAACAAATAACATAATTCCTATTAGAGGGTATTTTGGGGATTTCCTGGAAGCATAATTACACACATTTAATACATACCATCTTTTTAAAGATTCTTCTTGTGTCCTTTCAAGGGACTTTCATTGTGCTGTGCAGCAGAGCTGGATTTCCATCTCAAGTCCTCCTGGATCTGAGAATATTTTGAAATAAAACGTATAAAGTACTGCAGTTAACATCCTCGAATCAGAGATGTGTTTCATTTCCAATGGCAAGCTGGGAGAAAGAAGCCAAAGACAGAGCATGTGGATGTGCCATCAGCACTCCCTTCCTGGTGCAGAGAACAGCTGAGGTTTGAGATCAGGCCTGTGTGCAATGAGTGGCTGCAGGAAAGCACAGCAGTGATAATATTACAGTTGCTTTATGTGAGATATTATGTTTTCCTTTCCCAAAAAGTTATTCAGTCATTAAGTTGGAGTGACTCAAATATATAGTTTCTTTTTCTAAAATAATTGCCACATTGTATTTTAATCCAGAGTATGAATTAAATTACAGTGAAAAAAAGGTCCTCTGCCTGCTGTATAATGGAGAGAAGACAGGTTACTGAGAGAAACAGCACTAAATCTGACATTCTGCCACTGTAATAGCAGGAGTTGTGCTGACAGGGGCAATGCTTCTGTGTAGGCTGCAGGAAAATGCTGGAGTGGGAAAAGACAGACAAAGCCGGTTTTACACGACACAGAAACCTGATTCCAGATGCTTCTCATCAGCTTGTAACTGTGAGAAAATTTCCCGTAGTTTACCACCAGTTTGTCCATTACAAGAACACACTCCCTATTGCTGCCCAGAAGTGCAGCCCCACCAGCAGCCCTGCTTGCCGAGTTCGGGCTGTTGTCTTTGTTCACTGCACGGCTCTGTTTTAATCAAATCTTTTACCAGACCCTGCCTGCAACCAACGTTTTTAGTTGTCTCCTGACTTAGCCCATGGGAAGCATCTCCCAGGAAGACTAATTGAATTGTGTTGAATCGTTGTCATTCTGTTTTGTCTGTGCTGAAGGGCTGTTCTGTGTCAATATTCACGAGCAGCAATCCTCACTGGTTCAAAGGGAAGCCTTGTGATCACACAGTGAGCCTTGTGAGACGAGTTGTGGGTGGTGGTAGGAAAACAGGCCAGTCTGCCTGATTCCCAGCCATGCTCTCACACAATTAGACTGTGTTCCTGTCTACCAACCAGTACGCGTAGCTCCTGGCCTGTAATATACTTAACATACAAAACTAAGTTTCTTTGAATGTTTTTGCCAGCTGAGCTGTAATTAGAATGCACTAAAGCTGTAGGACAGACATGGAGAGTTGGTGGTGCCATAAAGCAGTCAGGTTTTGAAGCTGAAGCTGAATGCTGGTGGAGAGTATGCTGCCTTTTCTGCCCCCATGGTTCCAGATATCCTGTGCACTCAAACAAGAAATGTCCAATTCAGCACTGTGACAGCCTGCTCAAGCTGAGCGGAAATCAGAGAACATGCATTGCACTATTTTGTCCCACCCGGTCCAGCTGATTCTGAGCGTATACATATTTCCTATTCCAGAAAGAATGAGTGGAGCACATGGTAAAATATATTACCTTCTAATTTGCTCTGTAATATTCAAGACTCCCTGACACTGTGCTGATGAAACATAAACCACTCAAGAACATCCAGATTGGCGTCAAAACAGCTGATGTGTTTTCAGAAACTATTTAGAACTGATCTGCATGTCTGCTTAATTTTTAATAGTCATCTCTTTGGTGCCAAGGGTTTGTCAGGAAGGGTTGATCTCATATTTCTCATCTTTCTAGAACACTGCAAATAATACAATGAAGCCTGTCCTAGAGGTAATTTCCCAGAATGGCCCCACAGGGATTGTTCTTGGATGAATGTTTATGATGTTATCTTTGGCTTTCATCTGTTTTGTTCTAGAAAAAGAAGTGTGCTACTGGAGAACACCTTATGGGCAGGAGTGAATTTCTTTAGGAAGGGACGATGATACTCGAGGGCAAATGAATTTAATATTGAGGAAGAACTTTTTTACTGTGGGGGTATCAGAGCAGTGGACAAGGCTGCCCAGAGAGGGTGCAAAGTCTCCTGTGAGGATTTTCAAAGCCCGCCTGGATATTTTCCTGGGCAGCCCACTACAGGGAACCTGTTTAGCAGGAGTGTGGACTAGATGGTCTTCAGAGCTCCCTTCCAATCCCTATCACTTTGTGATTCTGTGATCTCACTAGTGAAAGTTTTTTATTGCTGTGTGTTGTATATAGTAAAATGAGGAGTTGGTAACTAATCAGTGCTGAAAATTAATTGCATACAAACCAGTTGTTTTCTATATTCACAAAGAGTGGTCTAGCATTAAAAATCGGAATGCGTTTATGAGCATGTAATTATATAGAGCATATCAAATTATGTACATCATACGGTCAGATGAGCAGAGATTTTGCAGAATTACTTGTTCAGAATAATTTGGCAGATGGTTTGCATACTGTTGAGAACCGTATCAGTTACTTTGATAATAACTGTTTGAAATTCATTATACTGAATGATTAGTTTATCATTTCCTACAAAACATTCAGTATAGATTCTGGCCTCCAGCCTTCCAAAATTGCTGTGTGAGCCCATACACATATTCATAGCATTCAAGTATTGACAAATAAATTTGTAAAAATGCATATTTGGACTGTATACAGAATAGCCCTCACACAGAGGGTGGTGATGCACTGGAACAGGTTGCCCAAGGAGGTTGTGGATGCCCCATCCCTGGAGGCATTCAAGGCCAGGCTGGATGTGGCTCTGGGCAGCCTGATCTGGTGGTTGGAGACCCTGCACATAGCAGGGGGTTGAAACTTGATGATCATCTGTGGTCCTTTTCAACCCAGGTCATTCTATGATTCTATGATTCTGTGATGAACGGTTGCTTAATGCAGAAATATCAGACTTCTTAATTTTTTTTGATTGCCTTCTTAGCTTAAATCTTGAGGAAGTCAGACTCCTCACTAAAGTCTTCTGTACCTAAAAGGTTTTTAAGTGTTTGAGGATTTTACACTCTAAGAAGAAAAACAGCCATGCATGTTAAGATGCCTCTTTCATTCACTTGTATACAATTTGCAGAAAGTGTAATGATCCAATTTATTCAGCAGTAGAAAAAGATAAAGAATGCTTGTTCATGCATAGCACTGTTTTAGTTTGTATGTGTGATTATGTCCAGAATATACAGTTTTTCCATAGGTAGTGTTCAGCGAAAAAGAAAAGATAAATGTCAAACAAACGCCCACTGTAAGATAAAATTACATATACGTATGTATATATTACATATACATTATATACATAAGATGATGTGATGGGATCACCACAGTGCTAGATGCGTCCTTATAAGGCTAAATAGCATACGTACTTTCTCACTTCTTTTTTTTTCAAAAGGCTACAAATCTGCATATGAAGTGATGCTAATACTGCGGATACGAAAAGTCACTGAACTCTGGAAAAAGACAAAAGTGTTTAACATGCTGTTCTTTTTTTTTTTTCTTTCCTGTTATTTGCATTCATTTTTTGTGGCAGAAAAATAAAAACAAGAGCGGAATATATTCGGGAGAGTAAAGCACCCTGAAGGCATTCATATAAACCCATCCCCTCACTGTTCATTGCACTGAGAAGCAAGAGGAAAGATGAGATTCCTCCATGAAAGCAAAACAAGAGGCAGAAACATAATATCATTTGTTCTCAACAAGCAGGCAAATCTCTTGCACCTTTCCTCACTGCTGGAATCATTCAGCTACTGAACAGTATGTTCAGACTGCTTGGTGAGATGATCCTTGGCTAGAAAGTCCTGAAGAAGCCATTCTCCAAGTAGATGAAGAAAAGAGGATAATGGGGCACGCAGTACGCCAGTTCAAGGCACTGTTTTGGAAGAATTTGCTCTGCCGTGTGAGGCAACCGGTGAGTTTTTGGAAATGATAAAATAAAATAAATATTTCAAACCTTATTTTGCTAGGAAGAGTGTATTCTGAGCTCTCTGCTGGAAATAGTGCATCTGTCAGTCTGTCTTGATTTTCCCTTCTCACTGCACACTGTTAAAGGATTGGCTGACTGCTAGTGGCTCTTGTTTTGCTTTTTGTCTCCTTGCTGTTGGAAATACAAATATAGAACAGTAGTGTGATTTAATTCTAAAATGGATGAAGTCAGTAATGCTTCACAGTTTGAAATTAAGATAGAAAATCTCATAAAAGTTTTTGAAGAGCCACAGATAATCTTTTAATTATCATTAGATACTACCAGTGCCTGTAGCAGTAACAAGGATTAAAATCAATTTCCTTCACATTAGAAGTAATCATTGGTGATACCAGTGATTGGTGTAATGCATGTGTAATTAGTACCAAATTTTAATTAGTTTAAGACAGAAAGGAGAGAATTCTGTCAAGTGAAATAGCATTTTTGCAGGAAAAAGATGTCACTACAGTTACTAGTTTCTCATTGATTTCCCTTGTCTGTGTCAATCTAGGGATTTGCAGTGAGGCATGATGGCTACTTCAGATTTGATTACTTCAATTAAATAAAAATAGAGCTTTCCATTTCAGAAATATTTTACATAAGCTGTGATTTAGAGAGAGAATTTCATTTTCATATGATTTCAGGTGGTATATTTTAAAAATATTGTTATATTTTTGGAAGGGATACTGTTTGTTATATTCTTCATCGCTCCCAAACACTTCTGAATGCTTCCAGTTCCTGATACTTCAACCTATGTGTCTTAAATGGCTTAATACCTCCTGCTGTCCTCCATGCTGATCATTCTCTCATCCTGCTCTGCCTAATATATTTTTTGGAGGAAAAAGTTTTAATTCTTTTAAATTTTAAGCTTTCCTTAACGGTTCGTTTCCTGAATAGAGAACTTAGTGAGATGCAAAATTCCCCAAACCAGGGACTATAATGAATGACCCGAATCAAACTTAATTCTGCATGTCTAAAGCCAGAACTGCCCTGAGAAATTTTTGAAAATCTCCTTATATGCTCACTGCATGAATACCGAGCCATGAATGTGCCTTATCTGCATATACTCAAGAGTATGCAAGGCGGATCACTAAGGATGAAGTTTTAAACTATGTATTTTAGAAGCTCAGGAGATACATACTGCCAGCAGCAGGGGCTCAAGGCTAGGTTGGATAGGGCCATGGGCAGCCTGAGATGGTGGGTATCAGCCTGAGTAGGTGGGAAGCAGCCCTGCCCATGGTAGGAAGCTGGAACTGAATAATCTTTAAGGTACTTTCCAACCCAAACAATTCTATGATTCACAATTCCACCTGGCTGCTACTGCTTACAAAAAGATAACTGAAAGCAAAAAAAGACAATGAAAGAAAAAAACCTCTGCCCTTTTTAAAGGATGTTATAAGAACATAAATGCACCTAAAGTTTCTGGTCAAACAAAGGAATCAAGGACTCTAGGAGCAAAGATAGGTCTTAATCAGCCTAACCAGCCTCACCTGGGACCTCCAGCTACTCTCCTAGCCTGCTCTATTTAGCTCAGTCTGGCTCCACTGTGCCTGGTCATGGTTTTGTCTAGGTAGCATAAGATAGTGATTGATTCTGGTTGCTCTTATTGGACCTTACATTGATCTGCAAGTTCAATTTCTGACTTTTTTCTGATCTGCTTCATCACTATGATGTGATCTGAACTTCTGGTTGAAGCTGGTAGTTTTTGGGATTGTCCTGTTCATCTCATGGGACCCTGAGGGATGGCTCCTGTCCAGCCAAGTTTTGTCCTTCACTATTACCCAAAAACGTAAAAGTACTTGGCCTGGTGTTCTTTGCCTTGCTTCTACCTGATTTTAAATGGGTTTAGCTGGCCTTTTTCACAGGTCTGATTCTGCTTCTGGGTTTTGTTCTTATGTACTTTTCCCAGCTGTTTTTGTAACACACCTAGGCTTAGAAATTGCTTTCTCAGTGAATTTTGATCAACAACTAAGCTATGTTTTGAAGTAAAAATACTCAATAATTTTCAGAGAAGCTAAAAGCCTCTTTCAGTATCTCTAATGGGAGATATTTAATGTGCCTTTTCTACTGCATTCTTGTTTTCAAGATTGGTCTTCACACTTCCCTAACTCCCTTATTGTTCCCACCTTCACTGCCTTCATAGCACTGATTTCTTTTTGAAATTTTGCCAAAGATCAGGTTCTGTCTTTTTTTCCTTTTTCAGCTGGAAACTGAGGCACCTGTGGAGTCTTTGTTTGCTTCTTTTCCTTCATGGAATCTTTCTGGCGAGAGCTGCGTCCTCTCCCTGGAGATGGAAGCAGATGCTTTTTGCTCATATGCAATATGCTTTGTTTCTATACATCTCACACTGTATCAGCTTGGATATGTTTCCATTGTGGCCCTGGGAATGGGAAGGTGGGGAAATGAGAGGTGGCCATGGGTAGCCTGAAGCCTATTAGCTAGTCTTCAGAGTGCCTTACTGCTGGGCTGATGAAGGCAACTTTTAGAAAGTGATGACTGCAGCTGAAAGCAATGATACACTGCATCAGCTGAGGAGGATGAGGAGATATGCCAGTCAAGGTTCAGGACAGCAGGCAACAGGGGAGCATGAAGAACTTCATCAAGATGCATTGCAACACAGGGTTCTCAAGAGGATCAGCTGTAGGAAAGCTGTAATTCTGTAGTGTCAGGCTTATTTTGTATTGACCAGAGGGTATTACGTTATTACATTATTATATTATTTATATAATTATATTATAATTATATATATTATATATATATATTTATATATATTATATTTATATTTATTATATTATATTATTACATTATCAGCAGAAGAGCTGAAAACTGCATTTGTACATATTTGGTAAATTTATAAGGAGTTTGAAATAAACTGTAAATTGCTATTTTGTTGTTATTTTATTTTGCTGTAAGCATTTGTAGATGAGATTTTTTTTTTTTGATTAAAAGGTATTCAAACTTAAGTTATGTGCTACCAAATTCTTCTTTTTTTCTTTTTCTTTTTTCTGTATCACTAATATTGTTTTCATTTCCCTTTTCAGGTCTTGTTCCTCTCTGAAATACTCTGGCCATGCATGCTCTTCCTGATTTTGGCTGCAATTCGCTTCCAAGAGCCCCCGAAACACAAGGAAAACTGTATGTTTTGTTTCACTTGTGCTGTTTTTCCTCTGGACTCTCTTTTAAGAAGCATTCAGGAAATACTGAAGATAAACCAGGAGGGGTGACTTACATGTAGTGGAGACAAGAGATAGAAACCTAGGGTGTGATTAGATCTTATCCAGCTGTGGCCCTGAGCAAGTCATTTTTAGATGGGGGAAAAAATACAGAGTTTAAGGTACCATCTATCAGACTAGTTCTAGATATTTACTCCTTAATTTGATATATTAGTTGCCAAAAGGAAGTTACGTTGAGGAAAGCAGAATGATCTTTCAATGATGCTTTTAGTTTTAGCTATTTTAAATTGAGAGATTAAGTTAAATAGGAACCCTATAGTTATCCCTTATATTACAAAAACAAAAAAGAACAAAACCTGTCATTTTGAGGTTTAAATTCTCAGAATACAAAGAAACTTCACTTTAATCAATGTTGAATGTAAATTCACATATAACAACACTAGTTCCTTCACCTCGTGAAAGCCTCAAAGAAAAGAGGAAATAATATTTAATGAGTAATTATATGTTCTGATCTAGCTTGCAAGACATTTTGGACTGACTGGCTAGCAAGGTTTTGGTGTAGCAATGGCATTACTGCCATGAGAGTGAGCTCTTCAGAAAGTGCTCTCTACCACTATGTTGCCATAGTCTGATGTGGGAGTTACCTGTTTTCTGTGGTGAATTAGTTGTGCTAAGATGGAACACTTGACACTAATGCAACATCATCATTTGCAGGTGACAGAGCAGCTTTCCAGGAGAAAGGTGCACAATGTTATGGTTCAAGTTTTATAACTGCAGCATTGCTAGTTTTAATTCTGTTGCTGCTTGATTTTTAGGTTATTTAGAAGCTCGGGATTTGCCAAGTCGGGGCCTTTATCCTTTTGTGCGGTCTCTTTTCTGTAATGTTGGCTCAAGATGCAGGAATACCAGTTACTCAACACAGAAATACAACCGCTTACGGTAAGATGTACAAGTCTATACAGTGCTATAAGAGTCACGGTAGGTCTTTTTACAGCAAATATTTTTGTCTTGTAGATAGGAAGAACAGGAATTTTGTAACCACATGAAGTTTCTTTTAGTATCATTATGAGTGCAGAAGTCACAAGGCTTTGTTTTATGTCTTTCTAATTTTCTTTGTCCTTCATGGACAAATTTTGTGCTTTCTTGCACTTCACTGTTGCACACAAGAGCATACTTCTATGCTTAACAGGAAAGACTATTGTTCTGTGAAGGTGAGACTGGCCAAAAAAAAATATACCGTACATGGATTTATACTTTGAGATCATATATGGTGGGAAGTATGCATGCAGAAAAGTAAAACAAAGACTGCTCTTAAGTAAGTTCTCCAAAGAGCCAAAAAGGAGTAGCAGAACCTCTGTAAACAAGAGAATGTGAAAAAGTAAACTGTAGGAAGGCCTACGTGTTATTTTTTTCTTGATATTGTCATGATACTGTCCTGTGTTAGTCATAAATATCTTATTCTGCTTTGAATGATCACGTTTTAAGCCTATAGGTGTAAAACTATAGTAGTATTTTACAGTGATGTGTGAAAGTAAAATAAAAAACGGTAACCATTTGCCCAGAAAAAAACAAAACTGAGGCACATCTCAGGTTTAGGCAAAGAGAAGGTAACAAACCTCTGTGCTGTGGTCTTGCAAACTCTGTGAAGCTTGCTACTTGCAATAGTAATATCAAATTATTGGGCTATGGTGTCAAAATAGCTCTTAGTCTTTTAAAAAAAAAATTTCCTAAATGTATAGTTTTTATTTACATCACCACTCCAGTTGCTATTTTAAGTGTGTTAAGCCCCTAGGACCAATGAATTATATCAACTGCCTTGCGTGATTATTTACACTACTTTGACTGAACTGCCCAAATTATATTTCAGCTCAGAAGAAAATCAGGAAGGAATTTCCTGGAGGCAGTCTTAGACCTACTTAAAAATGAAGGAAATTATTCAGTTGCTTTTTTCTTTTTTAATTGAAAAATAAATTCTTCTATGTATGTAGATTTCTATCCTCAGAAGGCTACGCTGAATATCACAACCCATGTCAGGAAAAGGGTAAAAGGTAACATTAGGTTCATCCTGAGGTCAGTCTATTACAGCAGGTTCATCAGCATAAATTAAATCAGCCTAAATGTTGCTTTGGCTTATGCTGTGTGCCAGCCTTAGGAATCCTGGTTGTCAGCTTGGTCAGCCAAATACCACTGAACTCTACAATGTCCCTGTGTTGAGAGACAGGGTGACATAGGAATAGTAATATTAAATATTTTCCCTTTGAGGATTTATGTCAAAACATAGCTGGTTCTTTATGGTCCTTTTCAGGAATGCTTCTCATGAACAATGTGTTTGTTAAAGGCAAATCAAGGACTCTAGTTTGCATGGGACGTGATACACTTCACAACGCATACTGCATTGATGCTGACAGTTTAAAATTTAGCTGTTTTTTGGAAAAAAAAAAAAAATTAAAAAAATCCTGTGACTTTTATTGGAACCTCCATTATGAAAACCATAAACACCCAAATAGCTGTCCAGTCTAACAGACTCCATCAACAGACTTTTGGTGAGCAGATGAGTCAGGTGAAGGCCAGGATTAACTAACTTTTCAGCAATATCTGCCCTGCCTTTGTCATGGTTTTGGCTGGTATAGAGTTAATTTTCTTCGTAGAGGGTCATATGATGCTGTGCTTTTCCTTCTTCTTCTTTTTTTTTTTTTTTTTTTTTTTTTTAAACTTGGTAATAGTGGTGATAATGTTACTGTTTTCAGTTGTTGAAGAGCAGTGCTTACACAGAGTCAAAGACTTTTCTATTCCTCATGCTGCCCTGTCAGCTTGGAGGTGGAGGGGCACAAGGAACTGGGGAGGAACACAGCCAGGACAGCTGACCCAAACTAGCCAAAGGTTTTGTTTCTTACTCCTTTTTTCAGTCACTACAACAGGTTCTTGCTTGCAGAAATTTGATGTGATTCACTAGTCCATCAAACAGCAGTATCTCTGACCTCCTTAGCATTTGAGTGCATGTAGGAGCACCCAAAGCAACAGGTGTTTTTGCCTTCTCTTTCCCATGTTTTTCACACTCCAGTCTATCTTACTGGAGCACAGAGTAAAACTGAGAGCATGCAAATCATGTAAAAACCATCCAGCACAGTGTTCTTCAGTAGTTTTACGCTCCCATGCAAAAATAAGTATGCATGTGCATGTAGACATAATATATTCTTGATGCTTTTAATTCCATTGCAGATCTTGCAGAATGAGTTGCAAGGTCGAATCCCAACTCAGACTCCTGGATCTATGTTTGTTAGTCTTTTCAATGCCACAAAGAAAATAAGTTTAGATTTTCCTGCACTTGAAATACTTAAGATGATTAAAAACTAAGACTCAAGACTGCTATTTCTAAGAATGTTGATGAATTTAATTAAATTCACAGAATTACAGAATTGTAGGGGTTGGAAGGGACCTCTGGAGACTGTCAGTTCCAACCTCCTTGCATATAGTGTTTAAACAGCTGTAGTTGGTAGCATAAATATCAAGACCTGATAACTTCCAAAAGAAATACTTGCTAAACTTGCAAAAACTTGAAATTAAATCTAATAAGGCCCAGGGGTAGACTTGATTCTGATACTGGTGTGGATGACTGAGCTATCATCTTACAGCTCTGTGTGCTGAGATCACATTTTGCTTGTGCCATATCAGGGACTTTCTCTGGACAACACGCATTGAGAAAAGCAGGGAGGTTGTATGGGGAGTACATGAAATCAAGCATCAAGTCAAAGAGAAAAGTGGGTGGGTGATTTGCAAGAAGTTAATAGACAACTCTGGGCCTCATTTATTTTGAAACAGGCACATGGTAAGCCAAGTCAAGCTTATGGTCAAAGTCATGTGGAAAGCTATTTTCTGTTTCTCATATGCTGTTTTGGACAGAGAGATGCAGGATGCTGGGATAATCTGTGAAAGTTTGAAGTTGGTGAAAGATTTTTATAAAATCCTCTTGGCTGGCAGCTAAATTGGGATCAAAACAAACTGCTCTGAAACAATAAAGAACTTGTTGGTAGTTCTTAGCTTAAATTTTCTCATCAACCTGTAATCTAAAGTTGCAGGAAACTGAACAAATAAAGATTATGGAAGGAGTGCAAGAGAAAGGTGCTTCTTCATCTGCATGCTATTCGGTGGCTGCATTTTAGCAGAACTTTTGAACATATCTGATCCATTTATATGCAATATTGTTTTTATTTTATGACTCTTAGTATCTTATTTAAATAATTGGGAGGAAAACAGTAATATGGATTCAACTAAGGATCATAGATGAAATAAAAATTATTCTAATTAAGTAGTTCTGACAGTGCTTAATATTTATTCTTAACTATAACCTGATAAAGAATAAAATTATTTTCATTTTTTAAAAGGATGTAAACACCATGTATGTGTGAATGATCTCAAGTTATCTGCCTCTTGGGACTTTGGGTCCTTAGTAATTTCCTTTTTCTAGCAGAATCAGGAGCTTAATGCTCTGACTTTGTATGTAGGCTATGTGCATTTTCTTCACAGCAATTCAGTTTAAAAATAACCCAAACTTTGTGATTAGGTTCCTTGAGTTTCAACACTGAATTTCACTTTCCATGCCTTTGTATACAGCTTAAGTCAAGCTTAGGATTCTGCCATGACTTCTTTCATGCATTTTCTTTTCCTCTCTAGCTGAAGTACCCGTAGGATTTCTGTGGCCTTATATGAGTTGAGATACCACCACTGCTGAAAGTTTGTATGGAGTGTCAAAAAAATGCTGACTGGAAAATTTTGCACCTAGAGAATTGACAATAATTGCTAAGGAACTGTTTGTCTAACCAGGATGTGTTCCTTTTGGGATGCTTGTTCATAGACTTGCTGCAATGAAGTTCTGCTCTGTGATGTTCATGGTGATGTTTGTAGGAATCAACTGGAAGAAATAAGACAGGATAAACTGAATCAAGTGAATTAGTTTGTGGATCTTTTTCTCATTAGATCTTTACCAATTGATAGCAATCATGCTGAAAGCTAACATTCATGTTCAAGTCTGACAAGAAAGGAATGTGACTATTTATATAAATATTCTACTATTTAGTAGTGCTTATGAATCAGTTAATTATTCTTCTAATGAAAATTCACAATGTATTTGCTACTTGACTTCACCCTTATATCGTTTGAACTTTCTATAAGATAAATTAAAATGCCTGGCAACATGTTAAAGATAACTGTTCCATTGCTTATGGTGCCTTGGGGTAGTCTAAGTAATGCTGGCCTGTAGAGGTGTGTAAAAGATCGTTGAACTTATTTCACAGTGGAAGTATTATTCTAGAACTGTTGTGTTACTGAAAAGCCACTAGATGGTAGCGTTGGAGGGAGTTTAGCTGTAAATTAAAACCGAAGGAAAGCTGGTACGGGCAATATCTTTTTAAGAGTTTTTTTTTTGACGTTTTTGTAAGTTATTGCATGTATCTGGAAAAAAAAAAAACCAAACATAATCTCATGTACAAGTGGTACAGGTTTTCTTAACAGACACTTTCAGAATGTATGTCAGCATAAGGAGAGATATTTAGCCAGTGACACAATTCTTCTCACTTTTCAATTAGAAAGGTACCTTGAGGAGCGTGTCGCTTGGAATCAGTGTGCGGGTGTTGGTGGTGTTGCTTTTTTTGTTAACATGATGTAATTGTTATGACAATTCTTTTGCCTAGTAAACTAAAAGGGAAGCACCTTTTGTCAGGGCCTTATCCCCATTCTGTCTGGTGATGTCTCCCCTGTGCTGGACACTGGTTGCAGTGTATTGGCTTACATGAAATTGGAACATGTAAACTTCAGGGTACAGGCTGTGAAAGAATCGTCATCAACTGGAATCTTGATGCACAAAGGAACAAATTTGACTTCACTGTATGTGTCCATCTGCTGTCAGATTTGTACTACTTGAGCAGGTGAGCTGCTTCAGCTCAGCAAATTTACAGTGCTCTCTTTCCTGAGGTTTTGACTCAGTTGTGAAACTTGCACACTAATGAAATGAACAAAATAAAAACCAACTATGTGTATAATAGTTCTGAAAACAAAAACGAACAATTAGAATGCTGCTATAAGGCAACATTTTTCTTAATGACTAGCTTCCAGGTTGTAATTACTTATCTTGTCCTCTTGTTTTTCTGTGGAAAAGTACTTCAGGTGTTGAAAGTGGTTCAGAAAGTTTTGCAGGACCTGACTTCGCGTTTATGAAAGAGATACAAGAACTTGCAAAGGGATTTACTGAAACCACAGAGAAAACCATGGCTTTAGAAAAGCTGTGGGAAGAAAGCTCAAAGTTCTCGGGTAAGCTTGATTTTTCTAATAATGAATTGCTTTGTTTATAATGATACCCATCAGACAAAGGAATATTTCTATTTTAAATAAAATTAGCAAAGTCAAATTTAGCTAACACAAAAATAAAAGCCACTTTAGTGATTATTATTACTGTGGCTATTCTAAAATCTCAGCTTCCTGGAACTGTACTCTTGTTTTTATTGATTGTTAAGAAAATATTCTGTGGTGAAGGTTTAAAGATAATCATTATTAATTGGAGTATATGGATACTTAGTCTAGTACGCATTCAAGTGTAACTATCAGGGTTTAGCCAGAAGGATCTGTTGGTTTGGATAACAACCTAGCCTGTCTTCCCAGTTATATCTGTTTTAGTAGAGAGTAGAAGGATAGGAAACTTATTTCCTTGCACCTTGTATCCTTTAGGTGAACAAATCAGTCTTGAACTAAAAGGGTGTGATTGGAAACACCATGTTCTGACTTTCCCCACTCTGTTCCCACTCATACTGCTCAGTCTTGCTGTGCAGCAGGTGGCTGAGATTTCGAGAAGAAAGATTAAGGTGAAGCAGTTGATTTCATACTTGGCTCTGTGGGGGCTAATACACTCACCTACTATTGATGTGATGATTTTGTCTTACTGAAAAGTGAATGGTAACGCATTTCTTTTGTTTCTGTAATAATTGTAAAAATATTGGAAGGCATAGAAAATTGGTGGCTTGCTAACTTTCTACAGAATTACTTGTTTCACACCTGTTTTATCCTTTAGAAGCATACCTTGTTTACTATTTGCTATTACTTACAAAATGGATCTTCTGAAGTTAATAATGCCTCTTTGTAAAGGAAAAATATCTGATTTTACAGGGCTTCATAACGGCACCACTTTTCTTACTGTAAGTACTTTTACATTTTATTTCTAAATAGTTCTGGTTTTTTAAGTGTCTTTATTGTAACTGTTAGAAATTTCTATCCTGTCAGGTTTTAGTGAACTGCCTTTAGAAAAATTGTTATATTTCTGAAGGAAATAATATCTTGGATGCTTCAGTGGTTTCTTGTGCACTGATTTAAACAACTCTAGGTTGTTAGTAACCAAAATCCACAACTTTTGAAGGCTAGATATTTATTTGGAGCAATTTAAAACTCTGTCTCCAAACTTTGAGTAGTTCCATAAAATCAATCATATTACAAAACATCTCAGAAGCAACTCTTAAAGTGTGCTCATTATTTAAAAACAAAACAAAACAAAAAACCCTAATGTCTTAGAAAAGGAATATAGTGAGATTGAGAAGATTGGTCTCTTGGAGATTACTTTGAATTCAGATTTATTATGTAATAAACACAACATGAAGACTAAAGTGGGAATAAAGGAAGGCAGGATTGTAAGATGTAGCATAACTCCTTCTGGAACTCATTTGCATGTGAAGTGAATTTGGGCTCTGTGCAGTCTTTCCACCTTTGCAATCTCAACAGAACAAGGAAGACTCAGCAGGCACAGCAGTGGATTTCAATTGCTGTCAATTTTGTACCTTTCACAGAACACTGGTTTCACTTCAGAATATTGTAAAATTATTTTTCTCCATAGTTAATTGATTACAGCTTGCAATTTCATGAAACCTACATTTCTGATTCATAACTAGGAATCAGATAGCATTTTCATAGTAATATTTGTCAATTGCTCAAAAGCTACTTGATTGGATGGAACTTCATTAATCATATCATAGAATAATAGAATGTTTTGGGTTGGAATGGATCTTAAAGATCACTTTGTTCCAATTCCCCTGCTGTGGGCAGAACTGCCCTCCACCAGCTTAGGCTGCGCAGGGACAGGAACAACTGGGCCTTGAACACCTCAAGGGATGGGGCACCACAGCTATTCTGGGCAGCTGTGCCAGTGCCTCCTCACCTTTTGAGTGAAAAATTGCTTCCTAACACCTAATCCAAATCTCCCCTTTTTTAGTTTAAAGTCATTTCCCTTGTCCTATCACTATCAGACCATGTAAAAAGTCGGTCCCACTCTTGCCTGTAACTTCCCTTCAAATACTGGAAGGCTGTAATGAACTTTCCCTGGAGTATTCTCTTCTCAAAGCTGAATATGCCCAACTTCCTCAACCTTTCTTCTTAGGAAAGGTGTTCCAGCCCTCTGATACTCGTGGCCTTTGTCTGGACTCTCTCCAACAGCTCCACATCCGTTATGTGCTGGGAGCCCCAGGATTTGGGCACAGTACTCCTGAGGAGACCTCATAAAGATAGAGTAGAGGGGGAAAATCTGAAAGAAGTGTACCATTGTTAATGGCTTGCATATGCAAGCATCTTTTAGTAGAATGTCTCTCATGTTACTATTATGCAGAAGAGCTCAACTGAAACATTAAACTAGATAAATAAGGGCTGGATAATGAACAACTATGATAAATCCATCTGATGGTTTAGTCCTACAAAAGATGTGCTTTGTGTTCTTTTACCCCAGTCAGTTAATCTTTCAAAAGCCATTTTCACCAAGCAGTATTTGACACCTATCCCAGCTCCATGGGAGGAGCTGTGAGGTAAGGATGGCATGTCCCTGGCAGCATGCTGCCCTTTATCCTTAGGCTTAAAGTTCATTGCCAGGGTAAAGAGCTCTTTGTGTATGAGATATCATAGGCAACCCTTCTCTTTAGGGGAGTATAATGTGTCTCCTTGCACGTCTGAGCAGAAAGATTACTCAGGTTTTCTCCCAATTCCATTTACCACAAGAGCAGACAAAGTCATGTGCAAGATAACTACTCTTAGTTCAAAGTATCACCAAAATGACATTGTGAATTAATGAAGTTAGAGGGTACGCTTCATACTTGAAAAAAATATTTGAAATAGTTTTAAGTTCAACAGGGTTGGGGAAGAAGCAGATGCCTGCTGGTTTTCTCTGCTAATGAAAGTGTCGTGTAAATGTGTTTTCCTCACATGAAGATGGATTTGAATGAAGCAGAAGAAATCATTTCTAAAATAGAAAACCTGTACAAACAGCCATCTTTCTGGAACCTTTTGCATTCTCTCCCTCGCCTTGAATCAAAGAACTTATATTCAGAGGATGGATTAGCTGCCATAGCACAGTTTCTGGAAGTTATTAAAAAGTAAGTACTTATAAATACTCTCTTAATATTTTACCTGAAACTCCTGTTCTTTTCACAGGCTACTTAACCAGAATTCTTAACATGCAAGGAAGGCGAATTTTTCTCTTGATCATGTGTTGCTTTTATAGAGACACTGTGGGTGCTTTCACCCATTCTGAGTACTTCATAACTGTTTCTTAAATGTCTGTCCAGCTCAGTGATAATTCTCTAGGAAAAAAGGAGGTTTATGTTAGAAATGGCTTTAAACTTTGCCATGTATTTTGGTATTCTTCAAAAGATTTACATATGAATGTAAGAAAATCTCACAATTTGGATTGTAATCAGCTTAATACATATTTAGCATTTGGACAATATCCACTGCATTTCTCAAGACTCTTGTTTCTACTGCAAGAAAAGAAGCAGTAAGAAAAAACCCAGAGGACTGTATTCTGGATGTGATAGTTTCTGCCTCAGGTAAGGGGCAGTTGGATTCAGAGAGAGACCTATGCTATCAAAAGAACGGAACACAAAAAGGAGCTGCAGGAATTTTCATTGAAATGAGGAAACCTTGAAGTGACAAATACATTTGCAAGAGTAGGTAATTGTAATAGGTGATAAGAAATTGTCACTTAATTCAGTGAACAGACTTGTAAGGCTTTGGGAAGCCACCAAACCTATCTGCTTGTGCAAGATTGGGCACAAACTTCCCCAGCCTTATTCCTTGGGCAGCAGAGGCCTAAAAACTTTGAATGCCAACTGTTGCTGCTTATCCTCTAACATCTCACTGTCTTTTTATCATTAAAAAAGGCATGAAGGATATAATAGCATAAGGTATTTTTGAAACTGGGGAGCAAAGGAGAAAGAACTGGCTGGATGTCTGGGCTCAGAGAGTGGTGGTGAATTGGAGTCACATCTTGCTGGCAACTGGTCATATGCGGTGTTATCCAGGGATCAGTACTGGGGCCTGCTCTGTTCATTATCTTTACTGATGACTGGGATAAGGTCATTGAGTGCACCCTCAGTAAGTTTGCAGATGACACCAAGGTGGCAGGAAGTGTCAATCTGCCTGGGGGTAGGAAGACAGGCTGGATAGCTGGGCTCAGGTCAATACCTCCAAAGCAGAAGGCTTTTTCTGAAAGGTTTGTGAACTCATGCAGAATCTAAGCACTCCTAAGGCAAAAACTTGACTGTAAGCTTGTGGTTATCATTTTTATCTTCTTCAGCAGCAATGGCCAAAGACAACAGTAACCACTGTCTGCTGTGCTGGGTCAAGCCACTAACCTGATAGTATAATCTCAGCAGAGCTTTCTTCTACCTTGAGCTCATAGGAAGGTCAGAGTGAGAGGTGGGGAGAAGGGTGTGAGCAGATGTGTGGGTACTTGCTGCCAGCTGGGTCATATCCCAAGGGATTAATGGCAGGAGACTTGGCTTATGTTTTTCTATTTTCATTTATTATTTTATGGCTTTTTCACAGTGTTGGTGCCCTTGAATGACAGAATTTTCCATAAATAATAGCATTTGGAAATGAAACCACAAAAAACAATGCTTGCCTTGTGACTGTCCTCATATTTCTAACTTACATTTCTAGACAGAGGTCCTGGTTCAGGCAGAATTTAGTTAGCAGAGAAGATTCTAAATTTACAACTTCTCCTGTTTCTTTGCCCTGTACCATCTTTCTTATGCTCTCAGAGGTACTTAGCAGACAGTAGCCCACTAGATAAAAAGAGACTACTAAAAGCCAACCTGAGAGCTTACAAAAAAATAAAATAAAATAAAAATTATATATATATGTATATTTGTCCTTGTCTTGTGTTTTCTGTGAGGGGACAGTAAACTATCTGGTTGAGACATGTCCTGGTCCAACACTTTACATACGTATTCAGGTAACTTAGTGTTACTGTTTATTCTCACTTATTTAAGAAGCGTTTCTGCAGCTCCTGATCCAGTCTAAAAAAGCTGGATTTTTATTTGCTAAGTAACACAGGAATACATTATAGGAAATAACTAAAAAGTTTAACATAAACTTTAAGTAGTAAATTACAGCTACATTAAGATCAATAAAAATTAACAGCTAGGTGGACTGAAACTGGTAGTTGTAAGAAATTCAACAGAAACATTTTTATTAACACATTCTGTAATTTGCTCTAATTTACTGTGAGAATACTTGTGCTGTTGTTTTAAATGTTTTTTTTCTCTGCAGATTGAGTGGAAATAAAAGCATTCTATATCCATCCTGATGTCTTGCTGCAGGGAAGACTGGGGGGATGCCTGTGGTGTTTCAGCGATCTTTTTTGATTCTCATTTTTAACTCATATTTTCTTCTTTTTCTGTCTCTCGTTCCTGAGAACATTGATAGATCTCTTTCATTTTCTTAATGAGAAGTGGGTGAAACTCCAACTATAAAATCTTACCTTGTGATATTTTGATTTAAAAACATAATATAACAGAAGTTCACTTTTTTCAGCTATATGTTCAAGCTATATATTTTAATTTTCAGCTGCTTGAGCTTCATCTTTTTCCACCAAACCCCTTCAGTTTTGCATGTATGGAGAGCTTGATTTTTATTTTTTTTTTTAATTTACCTTTCAGTACCTTAGTATCATTGAAAGACTTAGCTGTGATGCCACTGGGACAGACTTTCCATGAAGTGGTGAAAATCGCTCTAAATTTAACTGCTGCATCTGTACAGGAGAGGAGCTTGGAGGGTAAGGAATTTGCTTTGGAATTTTTTTTTCTCTTTTCAAAAGTAGCTCATAAGTGTATTGGGAATATATAATACTGCTAACTGAGACAGTTACTGCTAAGCTCCTAACATGAAAAAGTCTAATTATTCAACTACGTTGCTCCAGTGCTAACTCATTTCTTTATCTGCTGTCTATATGCTAGTAACTGCACTACATCAAACCATGGCAACTTTTATGACCTAATGTGCCATGCTTATAATGATCATTCAGTGGTGAGTTTTGGAGAAAAAGTTAATTGTTAAAAAGAGCAACCTCTTTCATTTCATAGAAGGATAGGCTCTTGCTTTGGACACGCACATTAAATGCTATGTCTGTTTGACTTTTTTCTTCATTCCTTGGTAACATAAATTCTTAGCTGAGAAGCTCAATTTTCCTCATCTACTGCCTGATTACAGGAATTAAGTTGAACTGGAAAAGGTAGGCTGGACCCAGGACAACTCTTCCAGATAATGTTAGGAACAAGTTTCTTTGGTAAACTGTCTGGAGAAGCACAGCAAGATACCAGGTTGCAACTGTTTGCTTTGCATAGAAATCCGGGCCAATCACTGTATGTGAATCCAGGCCAATCATGGGGGTTTAAATCCCCCTCCCCCTGACTGTCAGAAACACGAGTGAAGTGGTAGAAAGGTGTTTGCTCGAGCCCTTGTGCAGAGGGTGGGCTTTAATTCTCTGGGTCTGAGCACATGTCATTGCTATTGCTTGTTCTTAAAGCAGACTTTGTGTGTTCGGCAAGTATTTTTGACTTGCTCCTTTCATCTCAGCCATGGCAACTGTGTGGGCTGATTGGTACATATCCCATAGCAGGTTCTTTGAGAAGCAAACCCAAAACCTTATGCTGGGAGGATGTTTTGAAAACTTTCTCTCTTTGAAAAAATATAAACTATGTGAAAGCAAATGTGCAATGGAAGCTCCAAATTAGGAAGCTAGAAAAGCTGGGGCTTCTTTCAATAAAAATATGTTTTTATTGCATTGTGTTACGAGCTTATAAAACTAAAAGAATTAGAGTTTACAATATGCTCATAACCAAACGTTCAGATATTTATGGCAGTTCAGGATTTATCTGAAAGATAGAGAATGAAGAAAGTTTAATGCCAGAAGCTGCCGTGTAGTGCAGTTAACAGGTATACTGATAGCAAAGTAAGCAGACCTTAGTGTTCTACCTGTCTAGCTCTTATTACAGTGGCATTCTGCAGTGCCATGCTTCTCTGTGGGCTAGACAAGATTGTGTGAGAGGTGGGTACATATTATATCATTGGCCCCATGTCTTCACTAGGACTTCAAAGCGAGCTAAAATGAAAGCAATGCAAAATGACTTCGTTTTTATTCATGCCTCCTACCGCAGCAGAGTTGTGATATCCTTGGTGATCCTTGGTGATTTGTGTCACCAGGTTCAGAAATAGCATCTTTTTATGCAAACCTGTTTATAAAGTGCAACTGGTGTTCTCCTAGTGCCCTCTCTATCAGAGGTACTTCATTTTAAGCTTATAAGCACACATTTGCAAGTTACATTTGTCTGAGCACCTAGTTCAGAATGGCAAACTGGTGGATCTGCTCTCAGTCACTGTGCAGGGTCATCTCTTCATGATGCTATCAAGAGCTGGTGGATATCATCAGATTAGCTGACCTTGCCATGCTTCTAATACAATTTGGGACTTTAATTATTGAAATTTGTGTTCAATTGCTTGTGTTTGTTCTTTGTTTTTGTTTTTCTTTCCCCAGAAGCTGGAAACATCACCTGTGAACCCCATGAAGCTTGATTTATCAAAAAACGGCATGAACAAAGAGTAGGAATTATGTTAACAGAAGTTTATCTTTTTTCTTTCAGGTTTTCAGTATAATCTTTCTCTAGAGGATGTTTTGTGGAATCCACATGCTGTCAGAGAAGAACTTGAATTCAGATTTGGTTTTGATGATCTTCATGTTCAGAAACTTCTAAGTTATACAACACAATTAACAAAGGTAAATAACCTGAAAAATTAAATGTTTTTCTTTCCTCTGTTTTTATTTCCTGGTAACAATTCCTGAAGGCATTTTTCATGCCTTACAGAAACTATAATGGTGTATTTGAAAAACAGGCAGAAGCATAACTTCTACCAGAAGTAAAGAACTTGGTTGAATGTTACCAGCCAAGTTTTAATTTTGAATCTAATTTTTTTAAGCTTTATTCAGCAAGTATTTGAACCATTATACGTGGTTAGCTAACAGCATGACTAATCACTTGAAGACATCTGTGACTAAGGGATTGCTTTTCATATGAAGAATCAAAGTATTGAATCAAAAGATTTTAATAATGATGTTAAATTTTCAATTGTCCCTCTGCATTGTGTTGCCTTATAGAAGTTGCAGTGATGACTTTATTTCTGATGCAATCAAGATAACAATCCCTTTTATTGACAAATCACTTGTTCTGAAATAAATCTAGAGGTTGTAAGAAATAAAACTGTATGAAGAACCATTGAAGTTTTTACTGAAATTACAGAGGAAGTAGGTGATACTGTGAAGGTGTGAAAAAGCTACAAGACTAAAAACACTATCTTAATTCCCTTTAAAATAAATATCTCTAGCATCATCTAGAATTTCTATACACAAATGTACTGATGGAATCTAGTCGTACATACTAATGAATTTATGCTTTTCTGGACTTACCACTGAGTATGGTGACGTCCTGGGCTTATTATTCAATCCTGCAGAGAATTTTGTGTCTTACTCCGTTAACTTTTAAAATAAATCCTAGATTTGAAGTTGCCTGGATTCATTTGACATCCAGTATTTTTCATCTTTGTTGAGCAAAGAATGCCTGTGTATATCATGGCTGCTGATGTACCTTTTCTTCTCAGCTGAGCAGTCTTGATATGAATATACTTGACTGATGAGGTGTCTCAGTGGTGTGTCAAATTTTGAAGGAAAAATTTCATCTCAGAGAGGGCTTTTCTGTTTCTCCTGGATCAACATGATCTCCTGTGTTGTTCTTGTTTGATCTGCAGAACACTTGAAACATGTTAAATTTCTACAGAAGTCCAGCTTTGAATAGAGCATGCTGGTAATTGTCAGAAATCTCTTTGCTCTTTACCAGGGGTGGTCTGAAGTTGTTTTTGCTAGCAGCTCATTATAAAAACAAGTGATTTACATGAATGGGTGAGTTATATTAATGAATAAACAAAAATAAACAAAGCTCCCTTTGAATGGCCTTTTAGTGACATCACTGATGGCCAGTGTGGTCAACTCAACCAAATATTTGGCAGCAGCCTGCTATCCATGGTAGGCTGTGTAATCCCAGGTCGCTCATTCATTAACGCTTTATAGATTAAGCCAATATCTTCATATTGTGTGCTTGTGTTAGGGCTCTGAAGACCCTCAAAAGGTATGAAGAAAGGTACTGAAGCCTGGACAATGTCTGATCCAAGCACTTCAGTTCTGTATCTAATGTCCAGGGTGGTTTGAGGTCAATACAGCTGCAAAACTGTCAGTACATCTTCTAGTCACAGTTGAAAGAGGTTAGGCTGGAAAGTACCTCAGAAAGACACTATTAGGAAGGTTTAAGATGTACTAAATTATTTTAGAAAGCATTCATAAAATTTATATGATATAGAAAAATGAATCTTTCAGCACTGAATTTAGAATTCAGGCTATCGGGAGACGGGTCAGGCCCCTTGATCACATTGCTGAAATCCGCCAACTTCAGTTTAAAAATTGTCTGCTGCATATAATCATTGAGATGGTGTACATCAGTGTACTGAATGTTTTACACGTTAGTAACTTTTATATTTATGAAGTTGCTCCTATGTGATCATTCCAGTGCAAAATTATAGTGTAGGTATGCTATGTAATTGTCAAGTTATTTTACAGACAACACGGGTGTTGAAGTTGCTACACTGGTTAGATACAAGATGAAAATTCCTTGTAACAAGTCTTTTGCCTGATGCACAGGAACAGTAATGGGGCCATGGTTATTTTTCTCAGAGCTCTGCATTTGGGGTACCCAGGAACACTAAGCTGAATTAAATGAGCTTTGATGTTCCTTTTCATTAGATAAGTAAATTGATAGGAAAGGTAACACTTGGTAGCTCTCTGACATACTCATCCTTTTCTTGTCTCCCTGCCAGATTCCCACAGAAGAAACAGTGGAGCAGTTTGTGTGCTCTGCTCTGTCCAGTGTACCAGGATATGAAGCAAACAAAGAGAATAATGAAGAAAGCTGTATTTCCACATCTCAAGAGGCCAAATTGTATCTCATCCATGCTGTCAGCAAGCTCAGACTCTACGCACAGGTAGACTTCAGGAATTTATTAATTTTTTGCATGTAGGTTGTCAACAGTGACTCTATTAAAGGATCTGAGTTAGATATTAAATATTGTTGCTATGAACTTTTTTTCATTTTACTAATAACAGAAAGTAATAATTCTCATAAGTAACTGTTACAGTAGAAGTATAATCTATTACTATGTGTTAATTTAATCAGATTTTCTCACTAACTCAAACGCAGGATTGAGATTGAATAGGGAGTATAGTAAAACATGCTGCAGTGGAGCTCTGACTGAAGGAAAACCAATTTACTGTCTCACCTGAGCCTATATTTGAGCAAAACTGGAAGTAGAATATTAATTTTTAATTCTCCTCCACTATCTCAGGCAATAGTGACTTTAGTGTGTTGAGGTGCAAATAAGGGTAAATCTCCAGGATAGCATCTTCAAATTCTGCTCTGGCAAAACAGCGGGGCATGCAGTCTCTATGGTGACAGATGCTCCTTAAGGAAAACATTACTGTTCTTTCATTTTAAAACATTTTTTAAAATGTTATCTGTATATTAAGCTGCTCTCTTGCAATTTTTGCAATATTATCTACAGGAAGCTTGTAGTACTGGAATTTCTTTAAAAATGTAGCCTTCATTTCTCCCTTGATAAAAGTTGTACTGGTCAAAATCATCTCTTAATGTGGTTGCCAAGACTAATGACTATTTTAGCCATCTGGTAATAATTTCAGACATGGTTTATAGCTGTTTGCAAGGTGATGTTGCTATCACAAGGAAGTACTGTCAGCTGTTAGCCTCTGGAAATTCCCTTGGCGAGCTGATTGTATTTTACATCAAAATTCTATTATAACTACTGGACACTTAGGAAGGATAACAGTGCAGAATATAAGGGCAGTCTAAGGGCTTTGCTAGGACTTGATGGACCTTCTTCTAGGCTACACAATGGGAGCATGGAAGTTTCTTTTTCATTTGTTTGTGTAACAGACACCCAAAATGATGGGGCATTTCCCCATTTACTGAAGAAACAAAGGCACACAGCAAAAACCCAACAAAAAGCATGCAAAGTCTGTGTATTATCTAAATAAGTAAGCTTTGATTTTCTAACAGTGTGTATTCTGGTTTGCCTTCAATCTGTTAGGTATTTGAGCAATGGTTCAGTAGCAGCCACTCTCAGAATCTTCTTTCAGAACTTGTAAGAATCACGGCTGATTTAATGTCTCAGCTGCTAGAAGACAAAGAGGCCAGGAAAATTGTCTCAGAAATAAGTACCCTGATCCAGGAGTGGGATAAGAAATCACAAGCTTATTTTTCAGAAGAACATACTGCACCTCATGATCTGTAAGTTATAGTTACCTTTCTGCAATTTGAGTTACAAAGTTCAGATTAAATTTCATATTTATTTTCGCATTGCATTTAATCTCTTTCTGACTTCTGACTATTTCATTATTTTATTTCTCATTCTGTAATTCAAAACCTCGTATGCAGTCAGATAATTGCTTTAATGCATATGTGTTCTGAAAAAGAAATTTGATCTGTGATTCAGAGTATTCCTACTTTAAGGTTTAGTAGAAGACCGGAGTATGTTATCCGAACTCATAGAAACAAACAGCATGATGAAATAAAGTCTGAATGCTTTGCTTTGTTTTACAGAGTCTAATTCCCACAAATAATTGCTGTGACTCAGTTATGTTTCTCATGCAAGTCTGCCATAGGATTGATCTACTCACACATAACAAGTCCAGTGCGTCAGAATTGTATTGGATTTTTGTTGTAGGGATTGTACTTGTGTTAGTTTTCAAAGGAATCTTGAACAGAAGCTTACTATGGAGAACACAATTATAATGTAATACTACATGTTTGAGGATAAATCTGAAAGATATAAAGAGCTTCTGTACAGTACACCCACAAGTAGAAGGTGATCACACAACCTTTGGTTCTGTGGATTTATTGCTGGTTTAATTCACTTACAAATTGGGCATAGTCCTTTTTCCATTTTCGAAAATATCTAAGCAGAAAAATACAACAGCATCTTTCCTTAGCATGCAAATAAATGTGAAATTTAAGCACAGGATTTTATAACCAAGCAATCTCTAGTGGAATAGCGACTAGTGCCTCTTTTTCTTTAATTTCTTTAATTTCAGTAAGTGACTTGATGGAAAATGGACTTTTTTTGTGGAAAACTTTTCCATGTTTTGCTGGAAAGAAGGAAAGGAGATGATTGTGTGTAAATCTTTTCTTGCATTAAAATTCTCATCCTTTAGGGAAATTAGTCTGAGAAAAGAAGACTTGTTCATTAAAACTAGCTGCACTCCTCACTTGGGAGAATGATCAGTGACTGCTGCAAGTTAGAAGAGTTCTTTGGTATTTTGCTCCTTTCTTAGTGTGCCAAGGCTTTTATAAAATCCACGATCTAGTGTTCAGAGAGAATTGCAGTTAAATTGTTCAATAGTTAGCAGACGTCTTGGCATCTAGTTTGTTTTTATACAAGGAAACTGCTATACTGCTGCTTTATAAGAAGATACAGATGACAGAGAGCCTACACAGTAATAAATACTGGACAGTCCAACTGGACTGTCACAAGTCGATGGGGCCAGATGAGATCCACCCGAGAGTGCTGAGGGAACTGGCGGAGGTGATAGCCGAGCCGCTTTCCATCATCTGTCAGCGCTCCTTGTTGACTGGTGAGGTCCCAGAAGACTGGAGGCTTGCCAATGTGACTCCCATTTACAAGAAAGGTCATAAGGAGGATCTGGGGAACTACAGGCCTGTCAGCCTGACCTCGGTGCCAGGAAAGGTTATGGAGCAGATTGTCTTGAGGGAGATCATGCGGCATGTGCGGGATGAGCGGGGGATCAGGCCTAGCCAGCATGGGTTCATGAAGGGCTGGTCCTGCTTGACCAACCTGATCTCCTTCTATGATCTAGTGACCCATCTGGTGGATGAGGGAAAGGCTGTTGATGTGGTCTACCTAGACTTCAGCAAAGCCTTTGACACTGTCTCCCACAGCATTCTCCTGCAGAAGCTGGCAGCCAGAGGCTTGGATGGGTACACTCTTGGCTGGGTAAGGAGCTGGCTGGAGGGCCGGGCACAGAGAGTGGTGGTGAATGGAGTCAAATCCAGCTGGCGACCGGTCGTGAGTGGTGTTCCCCAGGGGTCAGTGCTGGGGCCTGTCCTCTTCAATATCTTTATTGATGACCTGGATGAGGGCATCGAGTGCACCCTCAGTAAATTTGCAGGTGACACCAAATTGGCTGGAAGTGTGGATCTGCCTGGGGGTAGCAAGGCCCTACAGAGGGACCTGGACAGGCTGGAGAGCTGGGCTGAAGCCAATGGGATGAGTTTCAGCAAGGCCAAATGCCGGGTCCTGCACTTCGGCTATAACAATCCCAGGCGACGCTACAGGCTTGGGGCGGTGTGGCTGGAGGACTGCATAGAGGAAATGGACCTGGGGGTATTGATTGATGCTCGGCTGAACATGAGCCGACAGTGTGCCCAGGTGGCCAAGAAGGCCAATGGCATCCTGGCTTGCATCAGAAACAGTGTTGCAAGCAGGAGCAGAGAGGTGATTGTTCCCCTATATTCAGCACTCGTGAGGCCGCACCTCAAGTACTGTGTCCAGTTTTGGGCCCCTCACTGCAAGAAAGATATTGAGGCCCTGGAACGTGTTCAAAGGAGGGCAACAAAGCTGGTGAGGGGTCTGGAACACAGGCCGTATGAGGAGAGGCTGAAGGAGCTGGGAATGTTCAGCCTGGAGAAGAGGAGGCTCAGGGGAGACCTTATTGCTCTCTATAACTTCCTGAAGGGAGGTTGTAGTGAGCTGGGGGTCGGCCTCTTCTCTCGTGTCATTAGTGATAGGACCAGGGGGAATGGCTTCAAGCTACGGCAGGGGAGATTCAGGCTGGACATGAGGAAGTATTACTTTTCTGAAAGGGTGATCAGGCACTGGAATGGACTGCCCAGGGAGGTGGTGGAGTCACCGACCCTGGGGGTGTTCAAGGAAAGGCTGGATGTTGTGTTGAGGGACATGGTTTAGTAGGAGCTATTGGGAATAGGTGAACAGTTGGACTGGGTGATCTTTTAGGTCTTTTCCAACCTTGGTGATTCTTTGATTCTATGAAATAACAATTTTCCAGCGACTTTTACCTTTTTACTTATGGCGCACAACAGTTTTGTACTCCACTTCTTTTGCTTGCAGAATCCTATATCTGAAGAAGATGCAGGCTGTGCTGCAGGCTGTGCCTCAGTGGTCTGTTGTGAAGAGATTACGTCTGGTAGATGGAGCTCTGAGGAACGTAGTATTACAGTATTTAAACTTCGCTGACGGTAAAGTTGCATGGTGATTACTCCTTACTTGCACTGTCCAAAGGCAGTTATTGCAGGGACCACAGTTTCCTCTCATGAAAATAATGAAATCTTGCTGAAGTCAGTGGAATGACTCTAATATAACTGTGAAAGAGGATAAGATCATGGTGTAATAGTACTGGTCTTCCTGCTGTGTCTTGAACCTTTTCCAGTAAGGGGATGCAGGAGGAGAGAACAGTCTTTGATCCTCAGAAGAGCAGACTGTGTCTATGTTTTTTGCTTTGTGCAAAATGATTGAATGCTTTGGGTTAGGACATAATCTTAATCAGGTTGGAACTTTTGTCTCTCCAACTGCTCTGTTTTTCAAACCATGTCATGCATAGTTTACTTTCCTACCCCTGAATCATTCTGTAGGTTACGTATTTTTTTTTTTTGTGTTGATGGGGAACTGTCTTACAGAAGCTTTACATAGCCTGGAGAAAATGATTCCCTTTACCCAAAGAAATGAATCTGTTCATCTGGACATCAAAAAGCTTTTTGTGGAGCTAAAACAGGTATGCTGTCATTTGATGTCTATATATTAGCTCTGATAAGGTTGCACGGGGTTATTTTGGGAGTGTATAGTACTTGCTAAGTAGAGTATCTAAATTCTCATTCTTCAGCATTTTAATCTAACTTTACTTTGTACCTCTTTTGGTCTTTTAAATTTTAGATTCAATTGTGAGAAGTTAAAATGGAGTGTTAATTAATCTGTTACTTTATCCTCTAATGCATTTTTAAAACGGCAGTGTATTCACTACATTTTAGATGTTGATGAGCAACTCTTCCTACGTCTGTGCTGATGTGCTTACAATGTTTGGGAAGGCCCTCAGACATCCACAGATTTCTGATACCACTGATAATTTAGCCATATATATGTGCACTGGCAATGATTCGGAGGTGGCTTTCAAGCAAAGCAATCAGCTCCAGTCACTAAGGAAAGCTGTAAGTATTTCTGAATTCTTGTTTAAATTCTGCTTGCAGTGCCTTATTTATATTGGGATTACAAAATGTCATAAATTAATGAGGGTTATATCTTGTTGCTTATTGTTTGCTGTTAATGATGAGTGAGTGTAACTGATTACTTGAACTGATTAGAATGTGCCTGGGGGAAAAGTACTTGTGGTCCTGTAGGGTGAATGTGATGTTTTAGGTAAGTTATGTAGCTGTGATTTCCAGAAAAAGAAAACTTGAAGCCCTGCACATTAAATGTAGTTTATGTTGGATTTCAAGAACACTGTTGCAAAAATCAGGACCAAACTCTCGGGGGAGTTTGCCTTTTCCTGGTTTCACACTATTGCTCTGTTTACCATGAAAGGTCCTGCTCCTGCAGAAAGTAACTCAGGGACAACAGAACGTGCCAGATTCAATAGTGGATGATTTTTTGGGATGGCAAGAAATAGAAGAAGAGTTAGCTGAAAATCATGCTTATTACTGTGAAACTGATCCATTGCTGAGTGCAGAGGAGGATGTCCGTTTCAGCTCTTGTGAAGAACAGCTTCTCTTCTCACTGTATGTATCTCTCAGATGTATATAAAGGTACTGATGCCATCAAGGAATAAGGTATTATAATGAGTAAATGAATAGATAATAGGGTTAAGCCTCCGTTTATTATAAATGAATCTCTATATTAATTAATTGCTTTAAAATAAAATAGGATATTATTATTATTGTTTAGCTATGCGAAGCATGAGCATCATGCTGTTAATGTGGAGTTATGTTTACTGTGGTAAGATGACCAGTATCACAAATTTGTCTGGACTACTGACACACGTGAGAAATTTAATGGAGGAATTTACTACAAAAGCAATGATACCCTGCTTTGGCAGGGGGGTTGGACTTGATGATCTCTGGAGGTCCCTTCAACCCCTATGATTCTGTGGTTCTGTGTGATTCTGTGATTCAAGGATCTGTCAGAAATTCCATGAACTGAATTGGCAGCAAAGATTAAATCACAAATATTATTAATATCTTAGACTGTAGAAAATTTATATTACTTTTTGTCCCTTTCACTGTTGGATGGTGGTTGATTGCCTCCTGTGTTTGAAATTGCCAGCAAGACTAGTAGTTTTACATTTTATTTTATGAGCATCAAAACTACTAAAAGAGCTAGGAGGCTTCTGGGAGCAGAAGTTTGTATTTAAGTAACACTGAAGAGCAAGAAAAGCATTGCTATTCTTATGTGGGGTTCTGTTTGCTGATTAATGCAAAGGCATACCCAGGACAAGAAGCAGCATTTCTTGATATTGTTTTCAATTTCAAAATGCTACTTTTGCATGAGTGAACCTTGTTGATGTCTCAAAAAAGGCATTTTAGAATTTCTGTCTGCTCGAAAACCTTTGTGTAGTGATAAAGTTGTGCTTAGAGTGGCGTTATAACTATGCTGCTTCAGTAAAGAAATGGGAAAAGGAATGTGGCATGGACATTGGAATATTTGCTTCAATTATTTTCTGAAGTCAATAGCACTGCCCATGTGCATTAAATAGTAATAAATTTAGATAAAGGTTTGCAGAGAAACTCCATATATTCACAAGCTAATTTTCTTTGTAACTTAATCACTGGATTAACCATACCAGCCCAGTTCTCTGTGTCATTTCAGAATTAATTTTACCCTTGAAGAATTTTTTTTTACTTTTGAAAAAAACCCATACTGGAAGTATTTAACAACTTTCGTCCAATGGACATGTGAAGTAGCTCAGCTCACAGATGAGGAAGCAGGCACCACAGGAGATCAGTTAGGTAAGTAAAGAGTTACTGCACAGGATTTATTCTGATTGTTCAATTTTAGGGGACAGTTATGCTCAGAAAGGGACAAGTTGATAATTTTAACACTTCTAAGCCTCTTTATGTTTCTGTTTTCATTAATTTCACCAAATGACAGAACTGTAAGCAAAGAAAACTTGTAATATACTGTGGCTGATTTGGGAAAATATCTGTAATTTTTAGTGGTGGATGGGAATTCTTTGGATCGTCATTTCTGTTGAGAAAATTCAAACTGGTTGAACCTGGTTGGAGTCTCATTTTCTTGCAGTGGTATTCTTTCAGGAAGACTTGTCAAGTCCAGCGTGTAAATGGAAGACCAAATGAGCTGGCCACTATGTAGCGATATTCCTGGACCGGTTTCAAATTAGCCAGTGACTTTGTATTTGATTTCCTTCATCCCATCCTGTATTTTTTCATATGTCCTGAGCCATCTGCCGTTAACTTGCTTGAAATATGTTAGTTTTTTTCTTATTTGGTCAAAAATAAAATTTTTTGGAAAAACTCTCATGTGTCACCTGAGGAATGGGAGACATTTTTGCAATTTTAGATTTATTTCTGGTAAAATATTTGTATTATTCCATTCAGTGTTTTGTGGTGCAAATGGGCTTGGGAGCATGGCACAATATAGCTGATCCATAGGGGTTAAAAAAATTACCTTCTTCAACATCACCATTCATTTCCTTTAAGTATTCTCTCCAGTGCTTACATTCTTTCACTGCTTACATTTCCATCATTTCCATCTTCTGAAGGACTTGGCTTTTTTTTTTTTTTAATGACAATTATAAAGATCTATGAAGAGCATGTTTATTCCAAACGTTTTCCTTTTTCTGCCCTCTGTCCTTTTGCTCATAAAGCTAATGAGAAATGTGTTTAATCAGTAAGTGGGCTGCTGAGAAATGAAATGCAAAAAAAAAAAAAAAAAAAAAAAGCAGTTTTCTTTAATCAAAGAACTGTATTAGTGAAATAAACTGTTAAAATATGAATTGAATTGATTGCACAATTTTAAAAATCAATTACAGTTCAGGTATTTTGGATTTCTAGGTATTAATAACTGAATTTCACAAGACGACTTCTTTTTGTACTGTAATATAATTCCAAGGAGAAAAAAATAGTAAAGTACATTTCAGTTGGAGTGCAGCACTAAGTGCACTTTTTACATAACAAAATTAATTTATTTTTTTCTAGTCTTTCTGAAGTTTAGTTCATATATTGTCTATATTTCCTTTTTTTCTTTAATGGATTGACTGATACAGATGTGTCTTCTGTAGAGCTGGTATTTATTGATAATGTATTTCATTTGTTCGAATAGAATTAGAATTAAGATGAAATCCTTAACTAAAAATTGTGTATTTCATTCTTTTAACATCTACTTTAATGATTATCCACAGAGAGGGAAATACATGTCCTGCTACATCTGATAGAAGTTTTTAAGGCTGTTTCAGTGTGAGATGATCAAGTTGTTCATAAAGTTTCCCTGATCTGTCTTTTGGTATCGACATTTTTATTTTTTGCAGGTGGATCTGAAGCATCTCTATGTTCTAGTCAGAAACTTGGTTTGGAGACTATCTTAAGTCATTATTTATTAGCATTTCTGCAAGATTTATCAGATCATTCCTCATTTATTTCCTGGGCACGGTAAGGTTGAACTAATCAATGCAATTTCTTTATCTGTGGAACTCATTACCCCATCTCTACTTTGGATGCTTGTAGTTCTTTAACACAGTTACTGTGCCATTTTCTTCCAAATAGCTGGTGCTGTTCAGTGTTACTGGGAAGCAGTGTAAGTAATGTGTTCTTACAAAGCCTGCTTATCACAGCTATGTTATGCTTCTGATGAACAGTACAACAGAAGACATTTAATCACCACTCTGTTTAAACAAGAAAAACACATACTTCATGGAACAGCCTTAAACTAGTTGTGGCTGCTATTTAATGCTATTAACTGTTTACTGTGCTTTGCAGATGATCACACTGATAAGAGTGCTTTCTAACTAAGTTACGTTTCTGGACTCTGACTTTATTTTTCATTCTGCAGCTATTTAGCTCTCTGCTATTTCAATCCCCTGTGTAGCCTGTAAAATGGAAAAACAAAACAAAACAAAAAAAACAACCCACCATCAGTGCAGTTAAAGATGAAGAACTGAAAGTTTAAACGTGACATATGTTGTCTTCAGTATACTTTGGAATGTTTACTCTACTCTTTCAACAGGCCATGTCATGCTTTTCATTGAAACTTGATAGGAATTTTAATTTAAAATGGGCTCTAGAAACAAGTAACTGATGATTTGTTTTCCAAATCTTAAATGATTTTGATATTTAGAGTACAAGCTAAATGTTTGTAAGATGAAATATCTGAAATACTGTTTCTAGAGCATGCACTGTTTTTTTCTGCAATAGTACTAACAAAATGGAAACAAAATCCTTCACAAACATTTTAAATGCTATGTGTGGCCTTCTGCTTTTTAAGTACTTAAAGAACATAATTAAGGAGAAACTATCTTCAACCTCAGAATGTATGAGGTACTTAAAACAAAAGGTGTTTGACTCTTTGTGGCTTACACAGTTAATTACAAGTGCTGCTAAATGCACTCTTTTGTAACCTAGATACCTATATTCAGGTTTTAATCTAAATGTCTGTGACTTTTCAGGTTTTCTGACATGTTTTTGAAAACCGAAGTGATCATCAGTTAAGCTATTTAAAGTCTTGTAGCAATTACTTATGGACTGCTGTTTGAATAATAATTGATCTTTCTTTGACTTAAGTAAATACAACTATATTCTAAAATTATAAAATATATATATTTATTTGACTCCTGCCTGCCTGCTAGGTAACTAACGAGAAAAAACAATTGTGCTTAATATTTCAGGAATTTGACATCTATTAAAGGGTTTTTGAAGACAGAAGAAAATATATGGATTTCAAGTGAAAAGGAAACGGATGACGTTTTACACCTTGCAGAAATTGTAGAAGAAATTGTAGTGTTTAACTTCTCAGTTCTTTCAGGCATCCGACCTCTAATGGAAACTACCTTGAGTGAAGTGATTATGTGGATGAAAGGGGAGGAATCCATGAGAAATGTTTCACTTGCAGTTTCTGAGCTCTATAATGAAATACAAAAAAATTTACAGGCTCATCTGAGATTTTGGATAAAGGAGAAGATGGATTTTTTCTGGGAAATGTTGAAAATTGTGTCTCATGAACTTGATTCCAGGGTTTCTCACATAGGTCAAGTGGAAGTTGAGGAGACACTGGAGTCTTTATCTAGTTTTATATCTCCTGTTACAGAAAATAAATACAGTCTTAATAGAAGCATTCAACTGCTCAAAAATATCCTAGCAGATTGGCAAGATTTAAATAGTCCTACTCTGAACCATCTAAAATACTTAAGAGAAAACTTTCTAAGGAATCTCTATGAGATTGTATCGTTGGCTGACAGTCATGTCAATGCATCTTTCAGCGTAGGTCATGGAGTGAGTAATACCTCCTTTTCATTACTGTCAAATGCAATGTTTATATATAAAGTACAAGAGTTAGGCAAAATTGTTCCCAATTTCTTTAAAGACATTCAAAAATTAAACAGTAGTAGTGCAGACTCACTTCTTCAGATACTTTTCTCTTTGTATCAGAACGCTGATCTGCTCTTAAATGCTGAGAGCAATAACACTTTGATATTTCTTTATAACACCTCAAAAGAAATTTCATCCTTTCAAACATGGAATGATTTCCGAGATATGGACCGAATTTCTGATTTTCTATCTGAAACTTTTGATCTTCTCTGGAACTTTACCAATAAGTCACTCTGTGAAAAATTACTGGCCTTTTACAATTACACAGAATTTCAGGCCTGGTCTTTTATACAGGAAGGCAAAAAAGAGTTGCAAGTTGTCTATAATATTCTGAGCAGCCTTAAAACCTTATTTTTAGATGAAGACCTTGAAGCAGCTGCCTTTTGTTATTTGGAACAATTTTTTGACATCTCCCCAGAATGCATTGTAAGAAATGGGTGCGTTTACTTTTATCCATCAAACATCACTTCTGTAAATGATTCAGCAGAGGTTTACAATCTCCTGCTTCCATTGGGCAGTGTCTTGTATAATATAACAAAACTGGAAGGTAAGGTAAGTTTATCTTCTGCTTTGCATTGTACTTTTACATGGCTTCAAATATGGACAGAGATTTTTGAAGAAACATCCAGAATCTTAAAATTGAATTCAACCTTTTTTGTCTATCTAAGAAATGATTTGAGAAACCTCTCTGAAAGCATTTTAAATACAACTCATAATGAACTGTGCAATGAAACAACAATGGCTATTGTTGAATCTACATCAGCAATTAATCTGTTGAAAATGATAGTTGAAGGTGGTGATTCAAGTGACTGGAAAGATTTTGAAACTTACCTTTCTGTATTTGAAAATGTTTTTGAAAATGCAATTGATGATGCAAGTTCTCTTAAAGGTAACAGTTCAGATGATGTTTTAGAAATGATTGAAGTTGTGGTAACTGAATTGCAGCAATCCATACTAAAGGTTGTTAATAGAGACTTTTTGAATTCTTGGCTTAATACATTCATCTCAGGAGGATCTAAGGGAGAAAGGAGCTCCAGTGAGTTTTCCATTGGGAATTCACTTTCTACTATTCTCAAACTCTCCCAAAAAGAACTTGGATTTGTTCTTGCTGAGATAAAGGACACTGCTGCTTTCGTAACATATGCACCTCTAGATAAATATTTGGTTTGTGCTAGCGTTTTACAGAATATTACAAAATTCATTTCTGACAGTACTCTGAAAAACATAAACTATTCACAATTGAATTTTTCATCCTATATTCATTCCCTGCTCAAATCTTACAGTGTAATAGAAGGAGTAGAGAATTGTAATGGGTGGATCCATGGACTTCATTATCTCAGTGAAAAATACAAGTCACCTTCTCACCTTGAAAATGCAAAACATATATTATTTCTACTGAAATCTCTGGGAAACACTGAGACAAATGCTAAGCTAAAAAACATTGTGGACTTCCTTAGTTCAATTTTCAATTTTATGATCCCTGAGTGCTCTGTAACTGGTTATGATGTGATTTGTGTAAACATTTATTTCAATATTATAGGAAGAGCTTTGGAAGTTGTTCTCCCTGAATTTAATGTACAAAGTGACACTAATGTGCTTGAATATATTTTTACATTCTTAAATAATTCTGGAGGACTAATACAAGAGGCTGTGAATAATTTAATGGGTCACTCACAAAATACATCAGATGATACTGGTTTCAATCACTCGGTCCATGGATCTAACAGCACTTTAGGGACCTTCCTTAATCCCGTCCACAGTGTTTGGCTTTCCTCAATAGAACTTTTGTCAGAAATTCAGCATCTTCTTGAAAACAAAACTTCTGAAATGCAAGAAAGCAGCTCCTCTTTCTTTGATGAGAAAAATATCAGTTTGTTGATGGAGATATTTCAAGTTGTGCTTAGTAAACTCAATAAATTCAATTCAAGCTTGCCTCATGAATTGCAGGGTGAATATAATACACTTCTTGAGAGACTGACAGAAAAAGCAGCTCTGAATGGTAAACTGGTAGGTCTCAAAATTTTCAAGTCTTCAAGCCTTGCTAGTTTTCCAATAAGAAATGGTAGAGAGTTTCTAGAGCACATGATAACCTTGGTGCAAAATCTGAAGAACATGGATATTGAGTTCTTGATAGGTCAATTCAAACAAGTCCAGATGGGCTTGGACAATTTCTTTAAAAATATCAAACCTCTGCATAGGGGGAGTTCTGAGTTAGAGATGTTAATAGACTGGTGGGATGCATTTGAGAACAGTTCATGTAATTGGAACCTGACTGGTTTATGGCACATCACGCAACTTTTTCAAGAGGATCTCTCTGATGTAGAAGAGGTGTTCTATCTTCTCCTTGATGTCATCAGCGTTATGGAAAGTCTAGCTCATGGGAACATAACAGAAGTACTAGCTGATGTGTATACTTTTGCACTGACTCAAGAAGCAAAAATGTCAATGTTTACAAAGGAAGAAATCTCTAATCAAGTAGAAAGTCTACTAATGTTATTAGAGGCACTGACAGATGTGCCTAATGAACCCGCAGAGGCCTCAATTTGTTTTTCTGCAGAATTCTGCTGGATTCTCAGAATGGTAACACTTCAGAGTGATCCCACTTCCAAACCTTGTGACTTTATGCAAAGTAATTTTCCTCTGAATCACAATGCAGTCTTACACAAAGAAGTGAAACTTGTTACTCTGAATGACAGCTTCTTGTGCACTATGGAAGATTTTCAGACTGACATTATTCATAATCTCACTTGCTTTATTCATCAGATTAAAGAATGGAACTCTATTCTTTTGAAGTTTTCTGAGCTCCATCATATAAATGGTACACTTCTTAAAGAACTGCTAGCTTTTTGGAATGAGCTATACCGCTATGCTGTGCCTCTGCAGGCAAATAATACAAACTCAACTGTCAACTGTTCTTCCACGTCAAAGAGAAAAGTGGCTTTAGAAATCATGGAAACTCTGAGTAGTGTGCCGGCAGCAGAAATAGAGATGTCTGAATATGTTCTTGAGCAGCTGAATGATCTTTATGGTGGCTTAAGCTGGAGCAGGCACTCAAGCATATCGCTTATAGAGACTGTTTTACCTTATGTCAAGAACATGACAACTGAAGTTTCTGGACTTTTGGATACAGAAGCTGTCCATTCTTTTCTTTCTGTAGTTCAGCCTTTCATGACTTTGTCTTCTGTTGAAAATCAAGCTTACTCGATACTCATGGTATTATCATCTTTAAATGGAAACAACAATATATCTGATAACATCGAGAACATCTGGTTTCCTGTAGTTAAAAGAACAAAAGATTTGTTGTTGAATTTCAATGTGAGACAATCACTTGCAGTAATAGACCAAGAGTTTCAGCTATTAAGGTTAGCCACTGGACGGTCCTCTTCAGTGACTTTTGATGTGTTAATACAGCAGTTTAATACATCATCTGTAGAGGCTGCGTTAAGAAAACTTGAAGACGTACAAGAGATTATGAACAGCTTTCTGTGTGAGTGTAATAATCAAAATTATTCTAAAGTGATGCAACCTCTAGTCCTTCTTATGGCTAAAGAAAAATCATCAGACCTACTGCTGGTTGTTAAAGATATTATTGACTTTCTGGAACTATTCCAAAATAAATCTAAAGAAGATTACACCGATATGTTGTTTGTTAATGATCATCTTAGCAGAGAGATACTGGATACTACTTATATTGCTAATTCAGTTTTTCAGAACTTTCTCTTTCATATGATTGATGACCTTGCTGTTACAAAAGAAGCTCTGCATGCAAACAGTACTGAGCGTAAGATAGTTGACTTCATTGATTCATTTTTTGATAATGCGCAATACGAAAATGTTTCTACTCTGTCACAAAGCAGAACTCTGGAGATCATGCAAGAAGTGTTGCAAATTACATTTGCATATTTCACAGAGCATAACAGGAAGAACGTAGCTTTAGGAAAGGATTTGAGGTAAGCAATTTCTATGTACTACTGTAAACGTGTGCCAAAACCCAGCAGTGACAAAAGAACTCTTCGTATGCAGCTTGCTCAGTTTTTTATTATTATAGTATTTCATATTTGTGCCTTTGTATAAAGCAATATTGTGTTTCATGTTATGTTGTGTACAGTAGATGTATCAAATTATATCACATGGTTCAAGTTCTTGATGTGCTTAGTGATCTGTATTGATGATCAAGGTGATTTCTTTGGAATTACAGGATCAACTATTTCAAGAAATTAGTTGCTTTAAAAACTTCTCAGCTCTGAAAACCAAACCACAGTTTTATTCAAGCTTTTTACAACTGACAAACTGTTCATATTCTTGTGACTAGGCCTCAGGGTTTGAATGAACAAGTGCTTTGAAATCATACACAAAGTAATTCAGATTCCTGCACTAACTCTTCAAGCAATTGATTTTGCACACTGGAAAACAAAAAACAGATTACAGCACATGTATTCATTTTCTTCAGTGGTGAGAAAATTCAGGAAGCAATTAGTTCTTGATGTCAGGGGAAAAAAACAAAAGGGTTTCTATTGATGTTTTGAGAAATCCTTCTTTTGAAAACTGTGGCTAGGATTGAATAAAAATAACTTAAATTGATGATGTCTTAAGCAAACAATATGTCCCTTAGAGGGTATGAGTACAGTACATATACTTACATGTATAATATATATACACGAAAATGTATTTGAATATTAATTTTTTTCAGTCAATATATAAATATATATAATATATAGTTGATACATACAGTTTTATACATGTATACACAATCATCTGTATGCATTATGGTTAATACATATTAAGGTGTTCAGTATGAGAAATGTAATTTCTGAAGGAAACAGCCCATGATCACTTTTGTCAGGTTCCTCAAATATAATCTAGGCTAGCAGCAGAGGATTTCTCCTCTGGGGAAATATTTACTAACAACTTATTTAATAGAAGTGCTGCTAGACCAGAGTTGCTGCATTTAAGTAATGCTCAGTGAATCTCGTGAGACGGTTGCTTCAGACAGTTCTAGGTGGTCTTATTGATGGGACCGGTGGTCCTACTCATGTAGCATAACAGAGAAACAGTGTAATGAAGTTGTTGTGTGACTCTAATATGTTATTTAGAAATTGGAGATTCATTTTTATGCAAATATGGTATTAGCCCAATCCATTGAAAAATGAAAATCAATGCTAGAAATGTGGTTTATTTTTCCAAAATGCTGATTTTCAGAGGTGTTGTGTGTTCTGCTCTTTGCTCTCATTCAGGAGGTACTGTGAGCAATGTGTTTCTGAAAACTAGCTTAACAATAGTTATGATTTTACTAAAATACTTGATGATATTTTATCTTGATGAAAAACTGTTTTTTAATTCCATGGAAACGTTATGTTCTGACTCTGAAACAATTCAGACAAATATTGGATTAATGGCTAGTCGTATAACTGTTAATATTAAAATCCTATCATGGTTCATTAATGATTGTAGTTGTATGTAGTCACTGGAAATTTGTTATGGTACATTCATTATGAAAATAACACTTTTTCATTAATCTTTCCACAGAGCATCTAAAATATGTCAAATTCTTCAGCAACATTTGCAACCTACTAGTGTTCTACTATTGCATAAGTTGCAGTTTGCCATTTTGAATATTCTTAAAATCTTCTCAGGTTGGTTACCATGGTTGTGGCTGTTTGGATCACTGTGTGCACTAGTTGTATTGTTAAGACTTTACTCTGAGAAAATTTATAAAAATGAATTAATTTGGGCGATGCAGAGCAGTGCAAGTATACTAATGCAGGGAAAAGAAACCAGCAAAGGCACAGGAAAACAGTTTGATCTCATAGAGGGATGGTTTCTGGAGTGGCCATAATGATTAAAAGTCTGAGTGAAAGCAGTTGGTCTTGCAGCTCCTCTCCTATCATTTTTAGGCACATACTCTTTCCCTGCTTCCTGGGCTTGCTCTAACTCACCAGGACCTCTTCCTTCTTTCTTTGATTCAACTCTCAGGACAAGTGGAAGTCTGTATAGGCATTTGGGTTTTGTCCCATATTTTTTTGCTGGATTTTTTTCTATTGGATTAGCGAAGTGAATAAAATTATGGAGTTTTTTAATGATCAAGAGTTGGAGCCAGAAAGCATTCAGCTAATAGAAATGAAAAACTGAGCAAATGTATAAAGGAAGTTTTACCTCCCGCTTCTGAGTAGATTACGGGTAGACTATAATACCACTAAAGCAGCGGATTGGCTAGCCACAGCTCAATAACTTGAACAAAGTATTTGGTATGAATGCCTTTGACTTACTTTTTCATGTTGGCATTAAATTTGAACACACTGAGAAAGGCCTTGCATTGACATAAGGGTATAATTTCTTATTATGTAATGGTGAACAGCAGTGGGAACTTAATCTAACAAGCCCTTCTTGCACTCTAATGGAAAATAAAGTTGGTCAGAAATATTTCTTAATGCCTTAAACACATCAGACTTTTATGTTTATTTGCTTTTAGAAAAAAATCCCACCTTTTTCTGTTCCTTTTTGTTTGGTTAATTTTTCATTTGCAGACCAATATGTATGCATTTTTAAATGATTAAGCTTTGGACTCTATCTTACAGAAGAACCAGTTGTCACTGGCAACCTTTTCTGTGTTGTTATGAAGTGTAAAGATGGCATGATGCGTCACTTAATAATCTCTATAATTGAAGGAATCACTCTGGTTCAAGACCATTATCAGGTTTGAACTGTTTTCACACCTATAGGTGTTGCTTGAAGAATATGTTATACTTGGAAGACTAATGTCAGATGATTTTATCTCCTGCTTTTGAAATGATCTGTCCCCACAGGGCTGTATGAAACTGATGTTTGTATGGGTGTAGTTCTAATGCATGTTATAGTGATACACAGAAGGAATTCCTCAAATTAATGAGCTTTAAAAGCTGTAAATATAACTTGAATTACAGTAGCTAGAATAACTGAATTGCCATTCAGTACCAAACAGCAGCCCATTTTAGTTTTTCTAAGTTTTATGATAGTGCTAATCTCAGGAATAAGAGTACATTTATACTTTAAAACTTTTACAGGAACAGCTGGAAAATCAAGCTAAATATAAAGCTGTTCAATTCAAAAATGGCAATTGTGGTTACCAGATGGGGATCCACATTTTTATTTTTTTAACAGTGCATGAAATTACCTGCAGTCTGGGTTGGGAGGCAGTAGCATCTGGCATTTAGTTTGATTCATCCAGAGCTTTGGTTATCACACATAGATGTGTGCACATCTGTGCACACATGTACAAAATACTCACTTGATGCTTTTAGTGCAGAATTTACCTCCTCTTTTCATGAAATAGTTCTTCTAGTCTGTATTCTGTCTACCTGGAGAACTTGCTGACATGAATGGAAATTCATTGTTTTAAGGTAAACAGGCAAAAGAGGCAGCACTCATATCTTAAAGTAGGCATTTGCTGAAGAAATGTATTTCTCTAGTCTCCATTGTACTGTGACAAACTTCTGCAAAAATAAAATAGCAAGATCAGAAATGTGAATATTCAGGAGAAAAAATAAGTGAAAATTAACAACAGTGCATGATGCAAGAAAACTCTTGTATATAGGTATCCCGAATTTTCAGTTTGCTGACGGAAAATAAGAAAATGGTGAGCCTAAAATAAAAGCAATTTTATTGAAATGAAATTTCTAGTAAAAATGTTGAAATTTCTGTTATGGGATGAGCCCCCTTGATGTTAGGTCAATTCACAACAATTTTTCACTACACAAAACTCAAATCTTTGAGAACTCTTGGGTTCTGGAAAATCTTTGCCCAGTTTCCAATAATGTGAGTAAATTAGTAGTACTTGAGTAAATTAGTAGTACTTTATTCATATTGTCATATTGAAAATATGCATTATTAGATTGCTAAGACTACCCATATCAATCAATAACATGATCTCATGAATTTGCTAACAAAATGATTACTGTGTTTTGCAGAGTATTGAAAGAATGTGGAAGATTTTCAACAAGGGAGACTGTGAGAGCATGGCATATGTAAACCTAAAACTTTCTGATAATCTAGAGAGCTTCCTGAGAGCCTTACAGAATACTACTGATGGCACCTGTGATTGTCAACTAATGTTGGAGAACATCCAGAGACGCTTGCAAAAGTAAAGCCTCTTACATCTCAGTACCCCAAATGGTTCTTATTAGTGATGCTATTTTGTGCACGTGTTCTATATTTTGTAGTTAGAGGATAAATACTTTTAATCAGTCTCTTTTTTTGTTGTTTGTGTAACTGAAAATTGAGCAAATACAATGCAGATATTATTTAAGTTGCTATTGAGCAAAATTCTGGTTACTTCATACTTTTGCTGAGCACTTACATCTAATCTTTTGGTTCATGAGTGCTTGTAAACTGTCAGGATTGAGCTCCAAATAATTTCAAATAGTTGCTTAATTACTTGAGGAAAAATAATAGATTTTAAGTAATTTAATAAAACAACTACTACATATTTCAAATTGATTGTATTTCAAATTAATTGTCAGTTAGAAGTGGCTGCTCTTGTAATTGTTGCTATTGTGGTTTGATTATTTTTATAATAGGATTAAAAACTCTGTATGAATTATTGAAATAACGTGGAGGAATGTGGGCCCTGGGGTTTTTCTTATAGACTGTAGAATGAATACCCAGTGTTTTAATAGTAAATAATTTCTGAAGTGTGAACGCTCTGAATTCTCTGCTTAGAATTAGAATTAATTAATCTGTAATGAGAATGCTTTGCATCTCTAGGTTTTAAAACTCTGTGCTCAGTAAAAAGTATGGAAGTGGGATGTTACTAGACCTGTGCTTCTCTGTAAGCCATTTTTTGTAGAGCACTGCAAGCACAGACATCTTCCCATCATGACATTCTGATCCAGGGAAGGAATTTGATAGTCTCTGCATTACATAAAAGCAACATACAGAGGTGTGTGGAGGTGCTTTCTGCATGTGCAGCGTGCACACAGAGCGTAATGTGTCTGACCTTTTTCTTCAGGACTGTTTCATTGTTCATAATACTTCATATACATACTGAAGTCAATGATTTAATTCTGGTAAAGCGTGAATCTATGGTTGTCATTACAGACTGATTGAAAATTGGGAGATACAGTTGTCAGAAAATCCTGTGGTAGCTTTTCTGAGCAATTTTAATCTTTTAAATGGTGAGTTATGGTTTTCCTCAACACTTTGAATCTCTACTTTCTTTTTTTTTTCTTTTTTTTTTTTTGCAAGAGAGTGTTGTAGTTTGCAGACTATTGAGGGATGTTCCTTATGGAGAGTGACCTTTAAATTTGAAACAGAAGTAACTTATACAGTATGAAGTTTTAATGCCCTTTATGCCCTCTCATAAAAAATCTAGAGAAGAGGCTGCAGTTTCTGGGACACTTAATTAAGCAGGTTGGATAGCTCTTATTTTTATTTTCTTGCAGATATGAAAGTCAAAGATTATGTGCAGAATATTACTGAATTGAGGCTGGACATTCTTTCTTCTGTCAACATCTCTGAAGAAACTATCAGTAGCATTTTGGAAGCTAATATCTCTTTTTCAAAGGTAAAAGATGAAAAAGAAGTGTTAACACAATAACCCAGAGCCAAATGAAACAAAAGATGAATTATATGTGAAATCTTCTGTTTTCATTTGTAACTTCTATGTGAAAGTTCATGAGATTTGGGACTTGAAAATGACAATGTGAAATATTAAGACAACAATTTTTATAGTAGCACCAGTCTTGCCTAAATTGGGCTGCTTCATTACTCTCAGCACTGTTTCACTTTGTGCTGACACTGAATTTGAGTTTTGCTATTCTGTTGGTTTTTGTCTTTCCTCATTTGAATCTTGTAACGAGCAGTCAGATTTGTTTTGTATTCTTTGGTGTGCTCCTCATTGTTCTTATCTTTTTGTGTGAATTTTGCTTCACTTTTATTTATCTTCTTTACTTGTCCATTATATATTGTCTAAAAAGTGGATTGAAGAAGTTCTCTGAGGGAAGGCCTGTGTGTATACTACATTTGCTGCTGTTTCCTGTGATCCCTGTGATCATACAGTAGAAATAATAACTGCTGACTAACTGAAAGTTTTCTTTCCTGTTAATGCCTGTGTGACTGAAATGATTTGGCATAAACTGATGAGGTCAATCAAGCAGCCACTGGATGTCACTGATGTTCTACTTGCAGAAATGATTGCAAGTTTTGTTTGTGAAAAGTGTGGCTTTTAAAAAGGCAGTTCATACAGTTGTGACTACTTACAGATGATTTGTTCTTCTACTTCTTTGGTGTTATGGCTGCCTTTATTGTTAGCTTGTTATTTTGATACCATAAGTGGTAATGAGAGAAGTCATCTGGAAGTGATTCAGTTAAATGGGATTCTGTGCACCTTGATCTTTTGGAATAATGTTAAATGACTGAATTCGCTAATGATTTCCTATCTTCATTTTTTTTTTTTTTTTCCTAGCAAAGTACTACGTAGAGTTAAGATATATGTACACATCTCACATCTGTGTATTTATACAGAATTCTTTTTCTATGTATATGCACTTAAATCTTCCCCCTGTTCAGTTGGTGCACTATGAACTGTGTCTCTTAGCGATTACATACAAATAATTTTCTAAGCTATAACTATTTTAAGCATAGATTATGTTGCCATTGTTGGAAAAAACTAGTGACACTCACAGGCATGTGCAGCCGTGTGTGTCTGTGACTGTATAGCGCTACTGTGCTTGCTTCTGGGATGGTAAGAGTAAGCCTGTAAGCTGCTCATGCTTGCTGCACTTAGCTTTCTATCTCAGAGTTATGCACTAGGCATTCTTATAGCAATGGGATTGTGTTTTAAAACTATGCAGAACCTTTAATCTCAAGATTATAAGCATTTATTTACTGAACATAAAGAGTTTGGCGTAGCTCTGGTACTCACAAGGCTGCAAAATGAGTCCTGAAGGACTTGGTCCAGTAGATGAAGTACTGAATGGATAAGAACTGGAGTGAAACTGTAATGTTCATGTGGGAATAAGGATATGAATTTCAAATTGCATAACAGAGTCAGATTTCCATCAAAACAAGAAATCCAAATCAATACCTTTTTATGCTACAGGCAGAATTATATTTACACTCATATTCTGGTCTCTGTACATGCACAAAAAAAAAGTGTAAATTTAAAAGTGTGGGAAATGATTTGGCATCATGATTCTATGATGACAAAATTATGGAAAAATGTCTGAAATTCAAAAGGTTGCAGATTAAAATGTTCACAGGAAATAAAGAATTAAATTGCATATTGGCCAACTGTGGGTCCTAGTTAGATTTTCTTATGAATCATTTCCATCACTGGATGCTGCTATCAGCATTAAATGGAAGAAGTGCAAGTGGATGCTGTCCCAGGGAGTACTGTAATGGAGCCCTGAGTTCTGTACTGTGGCTCTAAACTGTCATTTTCCTGGACTTGCTGCCATTTGCTTTCTTTCAGACATTTCACAAGAAAGAGAAGCTAAGAACTGCTTATATATCTGGGCTGAAAGCATTTGCCTTTCTGTGACATTTTTATTAGAAGAAAAGAAAATCATTATTTCAGCAAATTTTATTGTAGTCTTACCATAGATCTGCTTAGGTTTTTGTCCCTTCTTCTGTTAAACAGTAACACCTCAAAGGAGTTTTGGACTAAGAAATGTGAGCTGGCTCAGAGTGATCATTGTGACACGTAGGCATCCCTAAGTGTTAAATCTGTGATCTGAAAAAAGTCCATACTGTTTGATTTTACAATGATTCACATATCTGTGTTTTGATATTCAGGTGTTTCTGCTACAAAGAGGTTTATCTGCTAGAACATATATAGGCAGTGTTCTAAATATGCCCGCTTTAAGGTATCAGTGGCCATATAATTGACCTGTTCACAAATAAAAATGAATGTTTATTAGAAACACACTTCATCTATTTATAAGAATATCAAATGAAAGCATACCAATCTGATAGAGAGCTGGATAGTTCATTCTTTCAGTTTTGTTGAGAACTGCAAATTGCTATGCTACTTGAAAAATTCTCATTTTATTTACTACAGAGGAAGGTCAAGCATTCCAGGAAGACAAACATTTAATATGCATACATTCTGATAGGTTTTTTACAGTGCCTTTGTGATAGCCTTCACTCAAAGATGTGATGAAGAAGTACTTAGCCTCCTCCTCAAGCTATCTGAAAAGAGCAAAACCTCCCTGGCAGTGGAAGAATTGTGTTCTTTACCAGCACTGGATCTGTATACCACATTTGTACTGATTATACAGAATTTGAACTTACGCCATATAATTTACACGGTAAGATCATTCAGTTTCTATGCTTTTCATTTGAAGGTGGCTTAAAGCATGAAGGGAGATAAATAGTACAATTAACAAATATAGTATTTTGTTGCTTCAAATATCCTTTTCTGTGGAAGCTAGCACTAGCCATGTAGTCCTTTTTGTCCTCATTTAGCTCAGCAAAGCAAACATAGTTGAACGGGGTTGGTAGATCTTATTGTATTCCATACTTGCTTCCTCAGGAAAATTATCAGTGAGGAGTTAATTATGAAAGCAACAGAGAAAACACAGGAGGTCAGAGATTTAGCTGTATTAATCTTTTGCAAAGTTTGCAGTTCATATGATTAGTCACTTGTTAGTTTTTGTGAAACACTGATTTGACATCACTGGAATGAAAAACAAGCATAGGAATCCTCATTCTGTGCATTACAAACTTATTTCCTAAGACAAAATTGTATCACCCTGGAACATATTTTTTTGGTAGTAATCCTGCTGGAAAGTCAGGTGGTTTCTTCAGGAATGATGTAAATATGTTTTTCCAGCTCAGAGGATGACTCTCTCTGTAAGGGCAAACCAGCCATATTTCATGTGATCTAAGTCAGATAACTTTTGACTGGTTCAGAACATTTCTGTGGTTATTAACAACAATTAGCACAACCGAATGATGACAATTCAGCTTTGTCTGTTGGCATCTGCTCTGTTTAATCTAACTGAAAACACTCTACAGCAATTTACCCTGGTAGAAAAGTTTTAGAGAACTTATCATAATAGAAGACAGTGTTTGTATACCCCTGGAAAATAATGGGAATAATACAGTGCCAAAATTAAAATGATGGGGATGCAGAAGTCTGCAGCAAATATGTGCTGTGTTGAGATCTGTAGATTATCTGGAATTGAATGTGGGTTTTCAGAGGGATGTTTCCACTTGTTAGAGAAAAGTTATTGGATGGAATTGGTGATAGTTGTTTATTTCAGATCTTTTGGGTCACTGTAAATAAAATACTATCAAGTACAAATAGTGGAAAGTTACTTACAGAATAGTCTGGAAGAATAATTTGACTACCACAGATCCTGTATTTATTTTATGTGCTGCATTCAAAGCTATATAAAAAAAAACAAAAAACAAAAAAAAACAAAAAACATCAAACAAACAAACAAACAAAAAAAAAAAACACAACAAAAAAACACAACAGAAAATAATGCTTCCAAGAATAAAATTCTGCTTTCTGGAGTGAATTCCAACCTACAGTGGCCAAAAGGAAGAAAAAACAGTACTATCTTCTACTGAACTCTAATGAAGCATAATGAGTTCCTAGCATAGAAGAAAATTTTTTTTTCAGCTCATCCTAAATTATTGTGGAGGTTTTGCTAACTTTTTAATCAAATACAGGTTTATTACATGGTATTTTTTTTAATATATGAGTGTAGGTGAAATCTGAAAGGAATATTAGGAGTAGATGTTATTATAGTAGAAAGTGTCTTATTCAAAGACAGGTGGATACAATAAAGATAGAAGAAGCAGATGGGAGTATATAATGAGATTATGTTGTTTTTTATTATCATGCATAGGGACATAACTTAATCAGTTTGCATTACCATAATGTAAAAATGGCCTATAAAAATAAAGGAGAGAAAGCAAACTCTTAGTGCCAAAACGTGCATGGCGACATCAGCAAAAGGCCAGTTGAACTTCTGTCAAGGAAGGAATGAAATTCATGTAATTATTTTATGTAAAAGGCATTATATACTAAAAATGGAAAGGGAGGAACAATATGAAAGAAAAGTGCGTTTTCTAATATGATTCCTAAAGCCACTAGATTTAATTTAACTTATATTTTAAAAATATTAAACTGTTGCACTAGACACACTTAACCTGTTGAAAGAAAAGATATCATTTACACTGGATTCTAAGAAGGCAGAATGTTGCAGACACCATTAGTGTGGAAGTTGGGTAGGACAGCTCTCCATCTTGGCAGCTATAAGCATATTACCTGGATTTACATTTCTAATTCGTCTTAGGCCAGTTCTAGAATTTCTAGATAGAATTCTTTAGGTGAATTTTGAGAGTACTAGGGAGTTTTGTTAAATGAGGTTTGCAGGAACATTTAATAATCAGGTTTAGAAATAAAATAATTTTGAATGTTTCATCAATAGTTTAAAATTCCTTCTTCTACATGAAATATGTTGCCATGTATTTTCCTTCTCTTCCAAGAATAAGATACCTTCTGAGATGAGCAATGTACTAAGCACATTACTGGATGTGGTCTCTAGTATCAGCTCTCTTCTTAATAAAGTCCAGCACGTAATGGAAAACCTCCCAGTGTTCCTTCAAGCAATTCAAAACATTGGGATGTTTGACATCTCTGCACTGCAACAGGTATGTGTATGATTTTCACTATGCAAACTTAATTTCCATTTTGATGTTTGGGATGTATGATAAGAAGGAGGATTGCTCCTCCTCCTTACTGAACAAGTAAAAATTGCTTATTTTTTAGTCTGCAGTGGAATTGCCAGGTAACAGCCTGAACCAATGGTTAAGCACCAGGTGAGATGGCATAGCTAATCCAGGAGGCTCAGGTGCATGCAGTGTACGTGAGTGATTGGAAGGGTTGGAGGCTGGATCGACCTCACTCATTCAAGTATTAGCAGTTGGGGGAGTAGCATTACACAGAGATTACACTTCTCTTGCACTGTCACTGGTTGTTGGAAGGAGTGAGCCAATTTTTCTTCTTTATTACCTACTATTGCTCCTGAGAATCCCATTGCTATACAGATATCCTTTTCAGGATCAACTGCATTTTTCTGCTTTCTAATAACTACCTTTAATTCTTATTTATTTTGTTTTCTTGTCTTTTCTGTAGTGGCCAATCTTGTGCTGCTAAGTAATTGTGGCTAAACTGTGTATGTACTTTTCTCCTTAAATATTTTCCTCTACTTTCAAAGAAATCCAAAATTCTTTTGGATTTTTATTTTTCTGATAGCCAGTAAGAAATAGTTCAGAGACCCAGAAACATCACCAATTAAAGCAGCACAGCTTTCTGAAGCAAAAAATACATAGAAATTCAACAGGGAGTAAGACAGATTCTTTTCTAATCTCTAACTGAAAAAATTTTTTAAGTATGATTTAAAATAACAGATATAGATTTTTTTTGTCTCAAACTGAAAAGCAAGAAATAATATTTTAGTATCTGTAAAGTGTGAAGCTGAACTGGTATTCTACACACTTCAATAAAAGATTACATAAAATCTGAGTCTCTGCCAATAATAACTGGAATACAGAGCCACTTTCTACTGCTACTCTCATTGAGTGAACGGGTAACTCCCTTGAGCGAAAAACAATGCTGATTTCAATCATTATTTTTGCTTGTTTGTTCGTTGTTATAAGTTATTTACTTCTATGTCAAGGTGAATTTTTGGCCTATTTGTTTCTCAGGACTAGGTAAGGCCAGGACAGAACAACAGGTGCTGAATTATTGAATGCTGTTGAGCGTGAAAGGCTGCCTCATTCTGTTACCCCTCTGCTAAATGTAACAAGATCTGTGTTAAAACTATCACTACTGAGAAGCTTCTTGAAGTTGCAAATATATAAAATTATGACTTCAATTTATCCAGCACTAGCAAATTTATTATTGTATAAAAAATGTCATGTAGCTGTTACAACTTCTGATTTGCCCACGCATTTGTAGAACACAAATCATAGTCTTCTTCTATTTTCCTAGGTTAAATGGATTTTTTCTAGCTTTTTTTTTTTTTTTTTTTTTTTTTTTTTTTTTTCCTGTTACCATCTCTTGATTGTCTCACACATGCTAGGATCATCTTCACACGCTGTGTTAAGGTTAATCTTAAATGTTGGGGCTCAGAGATATGTTCCGTCCTTAGGGAAGGTATGGCTGGAGACTTGTAGTTCTGTTTATTCATATCCATGCCTACTAAAATGACTTGCTAATTTTGGGAGTCATCTTTTCCATCAGCTGCATACATTTGAACCTCTTATTTCATCAAGGATCAGTAAACTTTATTTTATAATAGCAACTAATGATTTCAGTTGATAAATAATGTTTAGCACTGGGAATTATACTTGGCTTACTTTAATCAGGTAACTGGCTTCTTCCAATACAGTGTTCTTTTCCCTGTAGTGCCTTCAGATTTTGGATGATAAGCAAATTTCTGTAGTTTACTTCTCATTTCAGAACTAGAAAATTCATTGAAGGGAACTTAAGTTCAGCCTCAGGAAAAACATTAGGAACTTCTGTGATTCAATATTTTCTTCTTTGTAAGGATCCCTGCAATATCTTCTTAAGGCCATTTTTTATCCACTGCATAGATATTGGATTAATATCGATTAATGCTTTCTAGGATAAGTACATTAATCAATTTGTAGTGTTTACCTGAACTAGAGACAGCATATGTCTTTTTCAGGAAAAATCATTTGGCTTCTGAAATAAATATTGTGTTGGTCTGGAGCAATAATTTGATAAAGCATTAACTTCTACTCTTCATATACTGTTTGTCTCCATAGTAAAATGTGTTGTGTTGTCTTGCCATATTAAACATCACAATAAAGTGCCATTATCTCCTGGGGCACTGTGCCACTCATCATTAAGTACAGATTTGCTTTCTACTTTTCTTTCAAATATTGCTATCTAAATTTTGATAGTTCAGACAAATTTTTACCCAAGTAAGCCAATTTTGCCATTTTTTTTTCCAATTCTGCTGATGTCAATACAATACAGATTTCTTGTTCATGTCTCTGTCCAGAAGTAAGAATATCTATTTTTGTATGTTGCCCTTTACCCTTTTGTTTCATCAGAATTTGTATGATCTTTAATCTCCCTCTACTTTTTCAGGAAAATATATGTATTTTTTATTTTGTCTGCTCCGTAATAATTCTGGATTTTTGAAATTTTCTTTGTAAGCTGTAATTTACTTTGACTTTTGGGTTTTCTTTGTTGAATAGCTGATATTTCTACTCCAGATGAATTAGCTCTTTAAATTTTTTTTTGCTTTTCATATTCTTTCTAGGTATGCAGCTGTTCAGTTAGGTCAGAAATCCCAATATTATGAAGGTTTTTCTTGCCTGTTTGCAAATTGCATCTAGTTACAGATAACTTTTTAATCTTTGGTGCCCACTTTCCTTTTCCTTAAGTTAGTTGGCAACTGACTTGACTGATTTTTTTAATTTTCTTTTTTTTTTTAATGAGAGACTACTTGTTTCAGTGTAAAAGCCTTGATTGTGGGCATACTTCATTTAGCTTAATCTAGAACTAGTGGATCAAAGATAAATTTTATGAATATACATCCTACGTAGTTCTTCCATTTTATCAAAGCAAAATTTTAGGAAACATTCTATTGATTCATTGGATCTTTAGTTGAAAGGCATTTAGTAGATTCCAATCTGATGGTGGCAGCTCACTGTATAAATATTCATTATTTGAAATTCAAGTCATTTTGATTGAAACCAGAATTAATTAGGGAGTTTGTGCTCTTTGACTGAAACAGAGCTCACCCTTCTCGTGCTGTCACAAGGAAACAAAATTACTTTATTCAGTTTATGAAGTTTATTTCTTGTTACCAGCATTTTGAGTCCAGAGTTGTAGGTAATGGTGCTATGAAATCTAAAGTTAACTTGTTTATTATGTACATACGCAAAAAGTCAGGTTCTGATGTCAGGTGTTTTAAATAATAACGCTTGTTAGTATATTTCTCTAGGAATTAACAAAGAAGCACCTGCCACTTGAGTAAACGCTTTGATCACAATAAACAGTTTCTAACAGCATAACCTCTAAACTGTCCGTGATCTATTATTTATGTAAAGAACTGTACTATTTTGAAAAATGACACTGCTGTTGAATACAACAAAACAAAACAAAAAAAAACTCCAGTGAATCAAATGTTAATATCAGCATCAATTTTCTTTACTAACATATCAAAACACTTTTTCTGTTTACAACCTTTGCAGTCTCGAATGCTATCTGACAATCCAGTTATGTTCTTCACATGCATCTGCAAAAGTGATGTGTACCATGTGGTTCAATACATTCTTCAGTTATACTTTTGCAGCACATTTTCTTCTAGATGTATCCTCTTTTGCACCTGTGTAGTTTACCACTGGACACCAGTTGCAACTGAGCATGTTATCTGAAGAATGAAGCTGCACATTTTTGAAGTGTGGTTAATGATGGTTCTTAAGCCATAAAAGCAGTCAGATTGCTCTCCTCATTAGATGCTAGTCTTGAGCAAGTGGTAATTGTAAATACTGGTATGATTCAGGATGTGCAAAATCTAGAAGTATATCTAAGAAGTTAAAAGATATATTGAAAACTGGGTTTTCGTAATGCACGGTTTTTTTTGTTTGTTTTAGCAACTGTTTTCAATGTGAGTATTCATATGCAAATTGACTTCAGTTGTTTCTACTTTGTGTGGAGTAGACTTTGTGAAAGCTGTAGTCCAGTTGCTTTGATATTTCCATTTCTTTTGAGTCTACCCAATGCAAGTATTTTTTTATTAATGTAATAATATGTTACTGTCTTTCAACTGTCAACTAAAACTACGGTAGCTTTTTTTTCCCCCCATGACAAAGGCGATCACGAAAGCAGAAAAGAGCACAGCAAGCCCTCGTTCTTGTAAGCAGTTTCAATAGTTCAGTTTTGTTGATTTCCTTAGATTGTGAGAACACCAGGAGTACTTCCTGAAGCTACAAAAAGTAACTGGTTCATCTGTATTTGTTCTAGTTCTTGCAAGGTGGGTGGTTCAGAAGTTCAGCTGTTGGATCGCTGGAGTCTGTAATCAAGGCAGTATGTAAAGAAGAATCTCCGTTTTTCAGCAATGCAAACCTATTTGTTGATATGCCCAGAATCACAGGGCTCTTAGAGGACGATATGGGAAAATATGGGATTCCTGAAGATTCAAGTGAGAAAACCTATTGATCACAAGATGCACATATACTTTCAGAGCTTGAATACTTTTTCCTGTTTAAATGGAAAATGCCAGTTGACAACTCAGTTGATATTGTAAACCTAAACACAAGGGACGATCAATAGAAGCTTTGCTACTGAGAGAGAATTGTGATGAGACGCAAGAAGTTCTAGTTGTTTCTTGTCCTTTCAAATAATAAATAAGAATATTCACACCTTAGAGACTCATTCTGCTTGAAGGAAAATATCATTTAGCATACAAACACATTTTTGAGGTATAAAATGGAAAAATCTATTGTTGCATAACTTTCTTCCTTGAACATAATATTATGGTGGTGCTGCGCAGTAGAGTATGCAGACTTTCTGGAAAAAATAAGTTTTTAATAGTTGAAATATCTATTCTTTATCAACTGCCAAGAATGTCTGTTCTCTCATAATTTCACCTCTGCTGCCTTTCTTCAACATACTTTTGACTTATCCTGATTAATTTAATACTGTTAATGACCTTGTTGGTGACTAGATAAAAGAAAAGAATGCAAAGAATCTGTGAAACAGGACTCTGCTTCTGCTGTCTTGGCTATATCAGCAGGGAGCCGAACCTCTGCCTTAGCCTTGTTCACTTGTGTGTGGGAAAGTCAGAACAAACTCAAATTAGCAAGTCTTCTGTTTTTTGGCATATTGCTATTTTTGAGTAGGCAGTTTAGTCTCTTAATTTCTTGCTGTCATTTAGCAATGATTGCCATTAGTAAGCAATGTTTCCTTGAAGAAAATAGAAGTCTGAAGAAAGAACTGGGTGTTCTAAATTTTACATTTCTGACTTTTGTTTCTTTTATATCTGGCCTGAATCTAAATATTATTGGCTTAATTTCCTGTTATATACAATAATAATAATAATCTCCCTTAAGGCATTATTAATGATGTTTAATGGCATATTTGCAAATCTGCTCATAATTTAAATAAATAGTATACATGAGCTAGGCATAAGTATCTAAATGTTTCCCACAGTAAACTCTTCACCTTTGCTTGAGTACAACATGTGAAAACTGGGATATCTTTTGGCCAATTCCTTGGCATTCGTTTTGAAGGACGTGATTCCATCCCAATGTATGAATAACTTAATCTGGTATACAATAATATGTTTCAGGTAGGAATGAAAAAGTGACTTATTTAGATTTTTTTTTTAATCAGGAAATTGGGCATCATAGACTAATGCAATTTTTTCCTGCGATTTTGCAGATCTTAGTGAAACTGTGCAACAGCTGTATTTGTAAAGGATTATTATCCTTCTTAAGTAGGAATGAAATCTGGTGAAAAACTGAGGGTCTGGAGTGAATGTGGTTCATTAAGGTGACTCTTCTGTCACCATTAATTTTGTGTGCAGAGGTTTTACATGCATATCTCTACCTCTAAAGTGCACTAACGCAGCCTTTAGGGCAGATGAATTTTGAAAGTGGTTTTTCAGCTAATGTGAGAAGCTCTCTATATTCTTGTACCTAATTACTGAGGTTGCAGAACTTTAATTGGTATTTTAGGTAGTGGTTAAACAATTTCTACTCTGGGATATCTGAAGTGATTATTTAATGTCAGCTGATAATATCTGGCAGGTCACTGTGACAGATCGTAAATTAAGACTAAAGACTTAGATTAAAAAAATAAATAAATAAAGCCAACCTCACCCGTGTTGACTTTCTGAAACACGGATCTGTCTTTGTTTTTGCAGCTCCTTTTTGTCTGAAGCTTTATCAGGAGATTTTACAGTCTTCAAATGGGGCTTTGGTATGGACTTTCCTGAAACCTTTATTACATGGGAAGATATTGTACAATTCAAACATCAGCATGATTGACCTGGTTATAGAGAAGGTGTGTATCAAAAGCAACACTGTTTCTATATATTGATTACTTTTTTTTGTCTTTGTACTCCAATTTAGGAGTTCTTCGTACTTCATTTCTTTCAGAAGAGGTAGAAGCAGTTGGATAATTGCTTTCAAGAAAATTGGAACCACCTTGCCACCTGAGTTCTCAACTTTTTCCTGCTTTGAGTTTTAATATTTCTCCTAATGTTTTTTTCTACTTGTTACACTGGTTTCACCTCAGAGTGAAAAGGAGAATTTCTTACAGAGTACCATAATCCTTGTATAGGAAGATTAAAAAGAGAATTTTAGCAGAGGTGTGGTGAGACTCATGCTGTATCGATGTGTAGAATATAGATACTGCAAGTAAGCTTTTGCCCTGAACATTTTATCTATGGGGCACAGCAGCACATAGAGCTGTGGGAAAGGGGTACTCAGGAACAAAAGCCTCACTGAGCTGCATAAAAAAAACAACAGGCTGCAGTGCATCTTGGTTTCATTCCTGATCATGTTTTTAGTACTAATACTATAAATATTTCTGGCCAAGATGCCATATATATGTGAACGTTAATGACTTGATATCACTAAACAATTTTACTGTCTGGTATGGCAAGTAATCTGGTTTGAGCATAATTGTCTGCAATTATGTGTTTGTTCACGGCAAACTTTGAAGCACATAGGTAAAAGAAGGGGCAGTTACTCAGTCTAAATACATCTTAGTGTTCTGTGCTAATTTTGCACTTATCTTGTAAAGATGTCATTTTTATATCACAACATTATTTATTGGAGGAATGGCAATTTAAATTCATTTAAGATCAAGAAAAGAAGCTGCTTGTAAACAATGCACAAAAAGGCTTAGTAACCTTAAATATGATAACTGTTTCCTGTGTAAATGGAGTACACTGTGGTGTTCCGACTTATGCTCTAGGAGATTAAAAAAAATAACCTAAGCCAAATGGCAGTGAATTGGAAGTAAGGTTTCAGTGATTCCATATTTTGCAATTAAATAACTTAATTTGGGAGACAGCTCATCTCTATAGAGTTGAGTATAATTGATTTAAAAGCTTAAGCTAAAACTGAAGATGTTATAAATGGAAATTTTATAAGGACTTTATTGTGATAAATGATAAAAAAAAAAAAAAATCAAACAATTTTGTGTACACAATTATATCCTATGTTACACTGACACTGATAATTACATAGGGCACTTCTGTGTTAATGTTTTAGTTTAACCCAACTGGCAGCTAAACAACACACAGCCTTTTCTCACTCCACCTCCTCCCAGTGGGGTGAGGGAGAGAATTGGGAAAATAAGGTAGAACTTGTAGGTTGAGATAAAGACTATTTACTAAGACAGAAAAGGAAGACAGAGAGAACTATAATGAAAATCTATATAAAACAAGTGATGCACAAAACAATTGCTCATCACACACCAAATAATGCCCAGCCAGTCTTGTCAGTTTTATAGGTTTTTCATGTTCTGTCATATGGTTTGGAATGTCCCCTTGGCTATTTTATATCATTTGTCCTGGTTCTGTCCCCTTCCAGCTCCTTGTGCACCCCTAACCCCTTTCTGACTGGGAAGTATGAGAAGCTGAGAAATTGAAGTGGCCTTGGCTCTGTATGGGACTTCCAGAAATAACTAAACCATTGATGTGTTATCAACATAGTTTTTCTCCTAAAGCCAAGACACAGCATTATACCAGACACCATGAAGAAAATCAATTCTGTGTCAGTTGAAATCAGGAAAATTATTTTGCCAATTGATATGACAGAATTGATATCTGGAAACAATCTATAACAAAGATCTCCTAGCATCTGTTGTGTATGTGTATATATATGTGTATATATATATATGTTAGTGAAATCAAGACTGAGTAATAGAATTCCTAACGCAGTTAACTTGCAATTTTTTTTTAACGTTCTGGAATAATTCAAAGATTCTGGTAGATGTTTCTGGCACATTTGTTAATATTCTCTGGGACCAAGAGTTCCATCAGTTTATTAAGAATCTGTGTAATCTGCACCCCACTTCTGCCATTTATATCTAACAAGGAATTCATAGAACTGCTTGTGTTAGAAGGCACTGTTAAGATCACTGACCTCCAACCCTCCTACAATCAGCAGGTTTGTCATGCACTAACTAGATCAGGCTGAGTATACTTGTTTATATATAAATACAAACATAGTAGGGTTGTTTCTACAATGTTTGTATTTCTTATATTACATAAGCCTCTCAGTTGTTTTTCCATCACAGACAAATCTTAAATGCAAAATAATGATCTAGGGGTTCTAAAAGCAGCTGCTAAAAGCTGACCCTTTACTCTTACACAGTTAAATATCCTATTGAAATAGAAACTGTAATTTACTTTAGACAACATGACCATATATCAGTAGTCTACTAGAAGACAGTGAGTATTAAAACTGAAAATGAAGTAGATACTTGTATAGTAAGGGATATTCTGAAAGTTTTTCACATGGCTTGTTTAATTTCTGGGCTGTGTAACCAATCATTCTTTGATAAGTTGTCAGGTTATGGATTTTGCCTTCTAAGAAGTCAATGGTTCTGATGCGTAGAAGAGGTATGACCATTATAAAGATGTGCTGCAGCACTGGCTGAGAGCAACGATGTTCAGTTGCAGTTGTCATCCAGGAGTTCAAAGTCCATGTGTGATGCCTTTGATCCTCGTTAACTTTTTTCCACTGATGAGCTGATCTCATGAAAATACATCTCAGTGTTGATCTTATATTCAGGATAAACGAAGTAGAAATAACACTTTGTGTTATTCCTTTGTAATTGGAACAGTCAGTATATATATATAATGGTAGCAGGATGATTCAGAAATAAAAGAAAAATAGTCTAGCAAATCCATCAATTTCAACTTCCTGTTTTTTGTCATTTAAAATTAGAAAAATAGATAATGAGTCAAGTAACTTCTCATTCTGAACTTACGTAGCCTGTCTTGGCTTTGCATAAGCACACTTGACTTGCCTGTTAAAAGATATCATTATAAAGGCAGTGAAGTCTGCTCAAAATAACATTTTTATTTGTGCTTAAATCAGGAAGAATCTTAGACGTATTCAGTCCAGACAGGGCCATAGATGTTATTCAAGACTATAATTTCAATCAAATGCAATACCCAGCCTAAATGTTACATATTTATTTTAATGGATCTCCATTCTTCAGGGAGAAGGGAACTTAAAGAGAATTTTTATTAAACATCAAACTCCAGCTACTCATTAGAATATAAACTCACAGGAGTCTTCCTTTTACCTCAAATTCTGACTCCTACTGTGGCCAATAAAGATTGCATAGGAAATTGCTGAAGATTATGGCAGTAAAGTGATACTTTCCCCAGATACTGTCCCAACTCCCAAAAACATGCCAAGATTTTACTGACGTAATTTGTCCACTTTTTTTCCAGCTCATGTAAGCTCTTAGCATCCACAATGTCTGTGGAGAGGTGTTCTAACTACCTCTTCCTTATTTACTTGTTCTTTAACTTCTCCAGAGAGCTGAAGCACAGCTCCACTTGAATTTTTAAAGTGTTTTATATCTTCCAACAATATTTACTTCTATTCTATACGTACACTTCTCTCCTTTATTGTAATTTCTTCTTACTATTGTCACAAAAAGAAAATTTGCTCAGAGATTTCAAAATCATTAGTCTGTGCAGTCTCCTGGTTCCGCTAGTATTTTTTTTTTTATTAAAATTTTATGAATAGCATCAATTTTTGTTATTCTTCAAACCCCTTGATACCAAGCAGTTGTAATCAGAAAGTTATTTTACACTGAATCCAGGTCTTCAACAGTTTCATCCTTGAAATCTTTTAGAATTCTTGGCCAGATGTTAACTGTCCTGAAAAGTACTTACTGTTCATTTTATTAATTTACAGGACCACTTTTTTAAAAACTGCTGCTTCAATTTGAGACTTTCTCTAAAATGACCTCAATTGTTTGTATAAGGAGGTTGAGTATTGTAATGGATACTGTAGATCCCTGAAAGTGACCTCAGGAAAAAAAAAAGTCTTTTGTGGTGTTGGGAATCAGATCAAGAAGCACCAAGATCTGAGCTCTTTTAAGATCCCTAATGAACTTCTTGATCTCGCAGCTTGTAGTGGCTTAAAGTTGAGACTCTGTCGTGACCTGCAGTGTGTGGAATTCTCCCTTTTTGGCTCTTTCTACCTCTAGAGCCTTTCTGGTCTCCTTCAAGTTGTTGCCTCCCTGTCTGGACAGTGGGTTGCATGATCCTAGTGTTCAAAGCTGGAATTTCAGCCCACAAGTTTTTTTTTTTTGTGCTCATTAACAGAAAAACTTGCTTAGTCAATTCAGTGCTGAACTTTAACATTTAAGATCTCTCTCCCTTGGAAAGTGATATAGACTATCTCACATAAGCTAAACACCCAGATTCCTTCATGAAAATGATATGTCTTTGGGCATTTTGTGCCAGAAATGGGAAGAACAAACACCACAAAGTGTTTTTCTATATTAACTTATACTTAAGTATGCATCTCTGGTAGAGAAGGAGTTATGAGTGCTAGGTGAGTTGTTTTGCAAAAGGCACTTAAAATATTATGGCAAAAAATGTGTACTTTTAATAGGAATTGCAAAACTGTGGTCCCGAATTTCAGTTTACGTCATCAAAGAAACTCGTTGCTGGGAAACTCCATGATATCTACCATAATAACAAAGTTTGATTGTAATGGAAAATCTAGTTCTTAAAAGCACTTCTATGACTGAAAATACCAATTTAAACAAAAGTATGCTGCTATGCCATCTAATATTGAGAATGTTTGTGATCTGTTAAGATAGGATGGAAAAAATTGATGGTTGCTAGCTGCTGACTAAGACAAATTATAGCTTATGCTTCACTGGTCCGCAGAATATTTTGCTGTACTGTGAAATATACTTGTAAAAGAAATATTTTTGGTCAGTTGTCTTCGTGATCCAGACTGCGCTTCCAACTTTTAAATTTAATTACATTATCCTAATATCTAATAGAGCAAAAGATCCATACAGCTTACAGAATCTTACTTTTGAGGAGGATGTCTCAACTGTATTTTTTTTTTTTTTTTTTTTGCATTCTGAAGCACCCCTGTGATACTCAGTATAAAAGAGACATTATGAAATAAAGAGGTTTTTATGACCCCTCAGATAGGAAACATAAACAAAAGTTTTCCTGTAGTGTGTTTTGTTTAGTATTCAGAGACTGCAGTAAATACTTATTTAAAAACAAACAAACAAAAACACATAGGTATACATACAGTTGACTATCAAATGATCTGGAAAGGAGTTTCAGGACATCTGAAGCATGCGGGTTTTTCATGTTTCTTGTGGTTTCCTATGCTTGGTCTTTTTCATTTGTCTTCACATTGTCTTTTTCCTAGGCTAATTTCACTTTTGGTTTTGTGGAAAACTTGAAGACTTATTCGCAAACATGGCTAAGGATGTCTGAAGTTTTTAAAAACCGTGGAAATGTCCTCATGGTCTCACGGCTGCAGGTTGGTGAAACGTAGTATGGTTTTCTATGTTCTAATGAACTGATCTAGGTGAATTTCTATATGTGTAAAGTTACCCATCTGTCTTGCTGCTGCAGAATTGAAAAAGAGACATGTTAGCTTCAGTTTGTGAGCCCGCAGTATGATACTGACAAACTTCAGAGCTTGTTACTGGGTTTTTGCCCATTCTACATCTTTGTCTTTTTTTTTTTTTAAATATACCAGTAAAATGTAGTTTTGTCATGGTTTACATGGTAGGCTATTATGTGAGAAGCTGTTAAGCTGTTATAAGTGTTAAGGATGTATCAGCCATACTCTGGGGTTTATAAGACCCTGCCAGGCAGGAGAGGGAAGGTACCGCTCTGCTCTGCACTGCGCGGCCTCTCCTCCAGCACTGGGTCACCACAGTGTAAAAAGAACATAAACTATAAGAGAGCAGTTGAAGAGATATTTAGATGGAGAAGGAGCAAGAGGTCGAGATACATGAAGAACAGCTGATGTCTGTTGGTTTGCTCAGCCCAGAACAGAGGAGGCGAAGCAGGTGGGGGTGAGGGAAAGGATCTGCACCGGAGGATAGTGAGCATGCAACAGGCTGCCCAGCACAGTGGACACAGCACCAAGTGCTGGAGTTCAAGGAGTGTTTGGACAATGCTCTCAGGCGTAGGGTTTGGATTTTGGGTGTACAGTTTGGCGCTAGGAGTTGAACTCAGTGATCTGTGTGGGTCCCTCCCAAGTCAGAGTATTCTGTGCTTGTTCTGTAAGCAAAATACTGTCATGGCTTTTATACTGACTGAACTTATTAAGCTCAAGTAAGCAATGTTACTAGTAAACAGGCATGAGACTTGCAAATCCCAGGAAGCTCTTGTAGTGCTAATACATTTTCTCCCCTTAGAACTTGGCAAATGAGATAAAGAATTGAAAGCAATATGAAAGGAATTCCCAGCTGCCAGTTTTTAAAGATGTTTATTTCACTATTGCCAGTGCTAATAGTTCAGTGCCCCAGAAATCTTGAGGGAAAAGAAAGTAAGTTTCTGTCCCAGTAGTTTTGTAAAAATATTAGAGTGGAACAGGTTAAAATATTAGGAGTAAAATAGGATGGTGAAGTATAGCAATGGGGAGTATGTGGGCTGTAGTTTATTTTAAATGGGTAGAGGTTAACCTTTGAAGGGGGTAAGACTGAAAACATGGAGAAGCTGAGTTCTCCGCTGTTACTCAGGAAATCTCTGTAAGAGGAGTATTTTGTATTTCTTTAGTGAATATAAACATGAAAATTATCTACAACTTTTTATTTTAGGAAACACTGCAAAACAATTTTGTAAAGCACTTTGTGGAAAGTAACCTGGATATAGACCTGGAAAAACTCTTCAAGAAAATGCAAGTTTATGGTATGTCTAAGAAAGTACATGCATTGATTACCCTTATTAGGTTTTTAATTTAATACTAGAACTACATTTAGTTGGATTTCAATATTCTGATTGCTTAGATGAAATTAAAATAGCAGGCTTGAAATCTATTGTTAGTCATATATTTCTAAATGTCTTAGTTTCTGTGTTAAATTTGTCCATTGTATAATATTGAAAACTGAAAAAATCTGGTAATGAATTAGAAGTGGCAAACTGTCATGGAACACTTACAAACATAGTAGCTTTATTTATAAGGAGGGAGGGAATATGTAATCTCAGTAGCTACAGTTCAATTATTTAGCAGTAAATTTTTTCAGTGATTTTGAAGAAAATCTATATGATTTTAATGGAAGTAAATCACATCTGGTATGGTATGTGTTTAATCAATACAAGGAAATGCTGTCTGTAACTCCTATTAGTAGAGAGAGAATTCCATGTCATCTCCCTGAGCCCCAGAGAAGTATGAGATAGGGTTAATATCATGGAGCAGCAATGCCTGGCTCTGGTTGCCAGAGTAATCAGGGTCAGACCCAGCCCTGGGATGGCCAAGCAGGACCATAGAGATGGTGACCAAGCAAAGATAACACCCTGCAAGTGGAGACTGGTGCTCAGATCAGCAGGTTCGTGGTTAGGCCACCAAGGGGTCCCTGCCAGCCATAGCTGCACCCTTTTAGCCCTGAGCTCCTGGCAGCTAGACTTATTTTTAAACAATCTGATAATTGAAAAAAGTAACTGATGTGTTCTGCTATCAGTAAGTCAGTGCATTCTAATGGAAATTGTCACTGGCAGCATTAGAAGGAACAGTTCGTGCCAAGGAAGAGTCTAATGTCATTTAAGAACAGCTTATAATCATGAGGACTGAAGAGAGAGAAGTGACAGAGAATGAAATAACAGTGTGACATCATGCACCAAGGGGGCTTGATGCTTCTCAAGATAGGACAGTAGTAAGGAGGACAGATGTGTGTAGTTTGTCAATTAACATTAGCGTAATTACAAGCTAGACAGTAATCTGTTTAAGTCATTGTGGAGGGATGGAGAGTGAAGAACTCTTAAATGCTTTCCTGAAGGGGCTGGGTGGCCCATATTGTTGAAGAAAAAGTCAAAGGAGGGTGAGGGGTCCAGATCACTAATTCTGCCCTACTGTTTACAGTTAAATAATTAAATCTGTATGTTAATAAATAAAACTAAAAAATTGAGTACCTGAAGTGCAACTTTTATTTGATTTTTGTACCTATCTCTAGGCAAGAGATGGGTAAAATCCACCACCACTCGTGAGAGCTTGTAAATACTGAAATGTGTCCTCAGTCTTTAATTGTACTATTGCTCTGAGTTGGTGCTATTTGTGGTTGACATGAGCTGAAGTTCTTGGGTTTTCTTTTGCATAAATAGGGTTTGAGATTTAATTGCAGTTGATGGCCTTAATTTGGAAGCTAGTACTAGCTGCATGCACTAAAAACACAGCAAGTAGTGTCCATAATCCAAAATCCAAAAGTAAAAGATTTGGGCACAGTATCCTTCTCAGGCTGAGGAGTTCAAAATTCTGTCTGCCGTCTCAGGAATATTTGTGTTATCACTGCATAGTTGGCTAGTCTGGATCAGAAACAGTTTGCCCATCATGGTGAAACTGGACCACAATAAAATTAAAATACAGGAACAGAAATACAGAACTGGAAAGTTAGAAGCAGGGAAGACAAAGCTCTTAAACTACAGGAGCTCCTGGAAATATAACTCTCAATGTACAGATGTATTTGGTGTGTACAGACTTAACATAGGGAACTGTATGACAGATTGTGGGCTAACTGTCTCATTAAGAAGATATCAAGATCTTTTGAGTCATAAAGTACATCTTCACTGTTGCAGACACTTCACAGAAGTCTTTGCAGAGATTTCTCAAGCTGTAGCTTTTTAACAGTCAGGGACATTTGACTGTAATAAATGCTTAATAGTCTTGGATTGAAAATACAGGAAATCATTGAAGTAGAATAGTTTATGAAGCCAGGATTTTTCTTTTTGATGCAATACAGTTGCTAAATTTATCATAAAAAGTGAAAAATCGATATAGGTGATAGATCATACAGGTTTTATTTTTGTGTTAAACTGATCTTGATCCAGAGTGTCAGAGCACTCTTCTGCATTTATACTTTGATGTTTCTTTTTACAGGTATGTTTACAATGAAATGCCTTCTAATTATGCTCAAATCCAAGCTGTTTGTACTTGTATGTTTTTACTTCATTATTATGCTATAAATATATAAGTAATGGGATTAGAAACATTTCATCCACCCTGCAACTTCTGTTGGAAAGTTTCATGTGATGCTGAGTGAATTGATGCAGAATTCTTTTTTTTTTTTTTTTCTTCTAAATTATTTTGCTAGGAGACTCCTTGCAAAGTTACAAATTTCTAAAACTGCTTTACAGGGTATTGTGCCAGTTTTTACTTTTCTGGAACGAAGTAAATATTGAAGTGCAGACAATCAAGTTTGTGTTTTTCTTCTTAAACTCATATTCACTTTGTAAACTAGCCTTCTGTGGGCACTGCAGGTCTATCTCTCTATGCTTGCTTTCCAATCCAGCAATCTGCAATCCTCTTCTGGGTGTAACTAATTTTGTATAAGCTCGATCCTGCTAGAGCTTATGAGGTCTTTGCTGAGAGCATTCCTTATAAACCTCTGAAGAGGCACAAGGAAGCAACTGTGCAGGAAATTCTTTTTATATTCTTGCTCCCTGAGTCTTCCTATTGTCTTTCAGTCTTCTTCATTTTTTTTTTCCAAAAGTACAGTGTATTTCACAGCTAAGGAATTTCTGTTTTGGCTACATGTGACCTGGGATGTAGCAGCAAACATTAAAACAAACAAAACCAAACAAAACTGCAGGCAACTTTCCTGCTTGACTTTTTCCTCTACTGCCCTCATTGTCATTAAGCAGTTCCCATGTATGCATAGAGAGCTGGAAGCAAACAAATAGCTCTGAAGTCATCACTGAATCCTATGCTGATTCAAAAATTACTGCTATATTCCAGTTTTTCTTGCTACCTTTCATTTAAATAGCACTTCTGCCTTATAGCTTTATAGAAAAGAGTTATATTTTCTTCCAATTACTTGGCAGCACATTGAATGAATTAAGTGGGAGATGAGGGATGAGTTCTATATAACAAAGCATGAAGGTATGAGTATAAATGGCTTTGCTGAGTTTTTTATTCATAGTTACTAGATTTATAATTGAGAAAGATTAAAGAAAAAACTTAAGTCTAAATCTTAATTCTAAAGCTTTCCTGTGAATTGTATCTGTTCCTATACATGTGTCTTACTCTGCCCTTGTGAGGTCTCATCTGGAGTACTGTGTTGAGGCCTGGGGACTCCAGCACAAGAAGGATGCAGAGCTTTTGGAGTTGGCCTTTTGGAGAGCTAAGAAGATGATCAGAGGGCTAGAGCACCTCCTGTGAAGACAGGCTGAGGAAGATGAGCTTGTTCAGCCTGGGGAAGAGAAGGCTGCAGGGAGACCTCACTGTGGCTTTTAAGTACTTAAGAGGAACTTTTAATCAGGAAGGAGATCGACTTTTCATATTTTCTGATAGCGTTAGGAAAACGGGGAATGGTTTTAAACTAAAAGAGGGGAGATTTAGATTAGGCAGTAGGAAGAAAATCTTTATTTAGAGTAGTGAGGAACTAGCACAGGCTGCCCAGCGAAGTTGAGGTGCTCAAGTCCAGGTTGGATGGGGACCTGGACAGCCTGATCTGGTGTATGGCAGGCAGCCTTGCCTATGGCAGGGTAACTTTCTAATAGTTAAAGCTATTTTACTTCCTTTTTTATTTTAATTATGTAGTGGTCTATTTTCACCATGATGGGCAAACTGTTCTTGATCCAAACTAGCCAACAATGCAGTGGGTAAGCAAATATTCCTGAGAGATGGCATATAGAAGTTTGAGCTCCTTGGTTGAAAGAGGATACTGTGTCCGAATCACTTACTTTCTGGATTTAGTTATGGGATTCTACTTGCTGTGCTTTTTAGTGCATGCAGTTAGTACAGGCTTTCAAATTAAGGCCATTAGGCCATTCTGTGATGTACAGATGCTGTTTCTATGCTAGAGTACAGAAGTTCCTGAAGACTGTGAAATGCAATTCGAGAAACATTTAACTATGCCATACTCCAAGGAAGTAATAAAGTCATTATTTTTTATGATAAAATATTCAATAGTGTAATTACTGAGATTTTTTTAACAGTTAAATATTTTTTTTTTCAAATTAAGATCTTATAAGGATCAGCTGCTTATATATGTATATGGTTATATATGTATGCACAATTATAAAAATAAGTGATATCTTAACCCTATTACTTGGGATTAATATTTCAAATTCTCTATTCTAATTCCACAAAATATATAAAAACTTGTATTTCATTTTTTGCCCTCCTGAAGGATAGTATTAAGATGTTTGATGCTATTTCTCTCAACCTGTGAACTTTATCGTTGCTTGCTCGTCTTCTGAGTTATAGACTTCTGATTCTTGTGGTTCTGCTTTGTTGATCTTTGTCCTTCACACTGGTAATCATATATCTTCTTCAGACTGCTGCACATATCTTTCCACTTACTTGCCTTCCTGCTGTATTATTTCCTATGCTGCTGCTGAGTAACACCTACAATCCAGGATTTTGTGTCACCACTGTTACCAAATGAGGTCATCACCCATCCTTTTCAAAGCCCATATGTTCAAGAGAGTCTTGAAAAATTTAAGAAGAAATCTCATTGGGTGCTTTATAACTTACTTTTTATTACCTGAGAAATTCACTTGTTTCCATGAAATATTGATAAATTTAGATTTATTTCTAGCTCATGCTATCCATTTGGTTATTCTCTAAAACTTAAAGGTATAGCACCATTCTCTAAAAGTAGATGGAGATCTGAACTCTTTCAGAGGCTCAGCTCTCATAGAATGCAGTTATTAATTCTGTAAACATGATCAAAGTGAAAACGGAGAGGTTTTAGTATTATCCAGATGATTTTTTTAAGATGTAGTGCTTGAATCAAAATGCTTCTACCTACAAGTTACGTGAAATATTTCCAGTGTCAAGGGGATAAGAACTAGCTTATACATTCCTAGAATAAAGAGATGGTTCTCTCAAGTACAGTAACTCTTGTATGTGGAAATGGTTATGGAAGGATAAGGAAATGTTGTAAGGTTCTCTAAGATGTAGGACTTATCTTTTTCTGGAACTTGTTATATATTATTCTGAAATTTAAAGGAAATGTAGTTGAGGATTTGTAAGAACTGATGTAACATGAGCTATACTTTCACACGTTCATACTAATATTCTTAAGCTTTAAATGTAAAAGGTATTTACTCCTGTGTGAAAGTGAGAACTTATATTTTGTTCTGTTTAATTATTTAAAGCTTAGACAGTCCAATTTATTTCCTCTTCTTCTTAGAAATTATGATGGGCAAGACATTTAACAGCTCAGCAAGTAGACAAATCGACCTGTTGTCACAACTCATAGTAAATATCTCTTCTTGTGTATTACTGGATCGTTTCCAGTCTTTTGAGTCTGTTGATAAATTGGAGGAGAAAGCTCACGAACTCATGCAGCACAATAATTTTTTGGCTAGTAAGTATCATATTTGAAATGCATATTGACAAAAAAGTTAGAATTTAATTGTTGTCTGTTATGCATCTAGTTCTTGAACCAGCACCTAAGAAAAATAAATGTTTATTCTGGGCAAATTAATTGTTAAGTAATTGACGTTATTTCTTTTCCATCTTGGCTTTACATGCCTTCTCTATGCTTTTTCTGCATCGTGCCTTCATGACCAAGAATTAATTGTACAGATTTTAAATGACAAGCACTTTTTTTCTTATTACACACAGATTCTCTGTTTGCATAAATGGTCTTAAGTTGCATGTAACTTTTCTAGGTGAGAGAGAAAGGTACTGTCTCCTTTTAAGTCAGTATATGCTGTGCCATATTTTTTCCCCTGTTGTTTGGTTTATTTATTGCCTCTTTAGACTCCGTTAAGTATAAAACGAGTCATGTCAAAGTAGTTACAGAGAACGAAATGCAAAAACTGTACTAAACCAAAACTTAAGAATAACTCTTCAGTCTGGAATCCTGTGCTTGCTCAGTCACTCACACAATACCCATGTTTGCAGCATGTGGAAATGAAACCTCAGATCAGTAAAAAAATCAAGAGGCCATACCATAGGAGAAATAGAATTTCTCAAGAAGTCTTCATAGGGAATGAAACTGTCTGGCCCTTCAAAGAAAGAAACAGACATCTTAGCTCACAGAAAATGAAACTGTCATGTTGTAGGTACATTTTGCTTTCACTTACATAAGGGAGGTTCATATAGAAAAGTAAGCTGACATAAGCCTCATGTTTTTGTGGTGTTATGGCCTCGTACATTCTTTAAGAGAACAAGATGGCTTCTTAAGAGACCTAATGTGTCCATTGCCCAACTACTCTCAGTTATAGGCATACATTACTTTCTGTAGTAAGATGAGAAACCAATGTTGAATTTACCTTGCTTTCTTTCTAATTAGGCTTATCAGATGTTTTAGAAAATTAAATGATTGCTTAAATGGGTAAATGAGTTTGAAAAAAAAAAAAAAATTTCCAGTGGAGTAAAATATAATTTTTATTTCTGAGAGTCAAGGGATAAGTGAGATGTCTCTCCTCTCCTAAAGAAAGAAAGTCAACTTTTCACACTCATCAGTAAAACCTAAAATATCTGTCATCCAGAAAAAAAAATTAAAAAAGCCAAGTACTTGACTTAACCATTCCAGCTACAGATAAAAATCTTCTTCATGCTTTTTACTGTGCTGGAGAAGATAAACATGCAAATTCTTCTTTGCAAAAGCAGAAAGGAAGTAACTGACTCAGATATTAAAAAATCAGAATGGGTTGGTACTGTTTTCCTTGTCTCCCACTTACAAGGATGGTTAACCTTTGGACAAATTTTGTAGCAGCTTTCTTTTATGGAATGAAATAGTATGTAGTCTTCAAGGTTGGGTTTTATGTGGATATAAAGAGAATAAACTATAGTTCAAAAAAGCAAATTACAGTAATTTTCTTATATAAAACTGTTGTTTCAAACCCATTTATTGCACAAATAAATATGGATGTGAAAAAATGTAGGACTGTATGAAACCCACAATTCTTGAGTAGGGACTGGGAGATGTTAAAAGACCAGGGGTTAGCTATGTAAGTAATACGCCATTAAGGCTTGAGTATGAAGTGCTTTTTCTTCTCATCAGGTATCATCTTCAATACAACCAGAAACAAGACGCCAGATTCCAGCGATCTCCTTACACAGCACATTTCGTATACAATTAGAACCAGCGTTCTCTATAGCATGAGAACGGACTTGATTAAAAACCCAGCATGGAAATCTCACCCCCAGAAGCTGCCATCCGATGGGTTTAAATACAATCATATCTTTATTCCTCTTCAAGACATGATTGAAAGGGCTATAATTTCAGCACAGACTGGGTTAGATATCTCAGGGCCAGCAATTCAAGTGCAAGCCATGCCTTATCCTTGTCATACCAGTGATCTGTAAGTAAACTTTGTACTTCTTAATTCAATTATGTAATTGGGCTATCACTAGAGAGCTTAGAGAGCTAGTAGATCTTTGTAATGATTAAATACTTATCCTAAAGCAGAACTGAATCAGTATGTCCAGTGCTAGTGTTGCAAATGTTAAGAGGTGGGATCACAACACATAATGCCAAATGATCCCTTCCAAGATATTTGCATCTACACTTCATAATAGTCTGCTGGACAGAAACTGTTTCAATGTGTGATCAACTTATACTCTCCAGGGGAGCACACATTCCATTATCAGTTGCCCTGTTTGCAAACTTAGAATTGGCTCACAATATGAGTGTAATGAAATATAGTGCAGAGTTAGTACAGGCAAAAGAAAAATTGGAGGATTGTTCTTTGTAAAATCATCATAACATCCTGAGTATTAGAAATTACAGTTGGTGATGAGACATTTTTCAATGGAGTAGAAATTGACTGTCTCATGTTGTTGCTTAATGCACATATTTGAGTTCTGTTTGATTATGAGTGGAGCCTCATCATCTAAAGAAAGATTGTAAGTTCTGTTGCAGACACATGCAAATATAAATTTATACTAATACCTGTTTAGCTTGTTGCATGAAATATAAATGAATTAAACTGAAGTAGAACATTTCTAATTGCTCATGTCAGATCTTATTTTATGCATAATGTGAGAATAGTTGCAGTAATACTCTGCTACAAAATCTTTTATGTCTGGGGGCTAACAATTCTGCATATATATTCTTTCATAGATTTTTGAACAACATAGGTTTTTTTTTCCCACTTATGATGATGTTAACATGGATGGTTTCTGTTGCTAGTATGGTTCGCAAGCAGGTTTATGAAAGAGAAATTCATCTTGAAGAGGTAAGGGAGAGTTAAGCTTCTGAAAATTAAAATATAAAGTATACTGAGATACAAAACATTAAACATTTAGGTTCCTTTGTGTACTTATAAATCTATCTGTTCTGGTTTTTCCTTGTTTTTATTGTGGGTAGAAACTTCAGGTTCTAGCTGCTGCTTTGAGTTTGAGCATCAGCCCCCTTAGTTTGCAAATATTTTCCATGGGATAAAACACAACAAACAAAAGATCTATAAAGTTTGAAGATGGAATCTTGAAGAGAGGTCTTGTGATTAGAATGGTTTGTATTTTGGATTCTTTTTCATGTTTAGCCATATTTGGCCTAATATGATAAACCTGCGTGTATTAAATTAAAAACTTGCTATGTTCTATGTATGTTAGAAATATAAAGAAGGATGAAAAGTGAGATAGAACTATTTGCACAGATCAAGAACTAGTCTCAGCAGGTAATAAGGATATTGACAGACTGAAGGTTTTAGGGTAAATTTTATGTAGAGATTTTTTTGAAGAATTGTACTGATCTTTATTTTTCTCCATTGTCTTCTTTCAGTTTGGGAAATTATTTAATTTCTCTAGTCTTTGATTTGCAAGATGGATTTTAGAATGCTTTAGAGTATTATCTCAACTTTGTGAAGTTCATTTTGATCATCTTATAAAAATGCTTTTGAAGTAGTATTATCTTGTTTTTAAAAGTGTTTTCTAGAAACAGAGAGATGAGATTTAATAGCTGGCTAAATTTGTGTACATAGAGGTTTTCAAAAGTACCTGTGCTTTACTTTTAGTTCAACAACATACTGGGGAAAAAAAAGTGGTCATACCTACAGTACTGTATTTGTACTTCTTAGAGTACATATAGGCAAATTTCTCACTGGAGAGCCCAGTAATCTAACATCTAGACTTGCAAACCCATGCAAAAAGTGTGTTGTGCCTGGGATCTTTGTGATCTGGGTTCTTTGTGCTCCTACGTGATAAGCTCAAAACAGTGTTGAATCCATGAGAGAGCAGCAGAAGGAGGTAACAGAGAGAAAGGAGACAAGCGATATTAAGGGAAGATGACACCCTTTGAGCTGGTAGTATCTTGGTGGTGATTTGTTTTGCTTAAAAACCAAAATGAATGTGTTATTCTAACTTCATATTCCTCTGCTGTATTGTCTTTCAGTATATGAAGACAATGGGAGTTCATCCAGCCGTTCACTTCCTTGCTTGGTTTCTGGAGAACATAATTGTGCTGACAATAAGCAGCTGTGCACTGGCCATCATTTTAAAAGCGAGTGGTATCTTTGCTTATAGCAATGGTTTCCTCATCTTCCTTTTTCTCCTGGATTTTGGAGTGACAGTTATTATGTTAAGTTATTTTCTGGGAGTTTTTTTTAGCAGTGCCAATACCGCAGCTCTGAGTGCCAGCCTTGTCTATATGATCAGTTTTTTACCCTACATAGTTTTGTTGGTCTTGCAGAACCAGTTGAGTTTTACCAAGCAGATTATGATGGTAAATATTTCTTTTCCTTGTCTATTTCTTTTCTCGTTCAGCCATATTTGGATTACCTTAATTCCAAAACTTTAGATTGCAATATATTTATTTTATCCCACAATTTTGTTTGCTTTTTTTGTTTCACTGCAAATAAGTCACTCTTTTCTTAATATCCAGTTAAGCAAATCTTTTGATTGTAGGAGGGAATAAAGAAATAAATTTTCAGGGAAATTTTGTAAATATGCAGAAGTATGAAGAAAGAACTCTAAATACTTTTTCTTCAAAATATTTCTACTATTATTATTGCTTAGTTCTACAATGGCTTTATATGAGCAGTGTATGTTATCTTGAAAAATATGTCCAATTAATGTAGTTTTGAGCAAAGTATTGTCATGGCCATGTTTCCTCTTGTGGCCATCTCCTGTTTATGCCAAATTTGATAAATGTGCCAAATTTTTTAGATACATTTTTTTTCTGGAGATTTGGAATTAAGGTGGTCTTTTTTCTTTTTGGTGAAAAAAACAGTGGTTTGCAACTGCGGTAACTCTAGAAGCAGAAGTAATTAGGAGACTAATTAATGCAATTACCTACTGTGAGATAGAATAATTCATCTTAAGTGTTGAGGTATTTAATATTTGTGCTGTGAGCACTCTTAGCATAAACCATTTGCATAGACTTGAGTTGCTTAATGTAGATTAACAGTAGATGAATAGATGTACTATATATCTTTATGTACAACAGATCATAGCAGGGATTTCAGTGTTAATAGAAGAACTATATTCTATAAAATGTTGCTTTTAAAAGATGAATGTAAAAATCCAGCCCTCTTGCTGTTGAATCATGATCAGTGTTTTTGCAGGAAAGTGATTTTTCTATTGAGAACAGCTGGGGATTAGATCAGGAATTTATCTAATAGTTTTCTTGTTAATACTGTTGAAGATATGTTTCCTTGGCATTGCTTCATATGTATGTCCTTTCTTGTTTTTTTTTTTTTTTTTTTTTTTTTTTTTTTTTTTTTTTGTTTGCTATAAGCTGTTTTATGTCTTTGTACTGTCTTAATGTACCATATCCCAAGCTGGACATCAAATATCATCAACATAAAATGGAAATTGTATTTCACACTTTATGGTTTTGTTCCTTTAAAAGATAGACACACAAAATTTCATTAAGATGATGGAACACTTCACAGTATTTTAAAAATGGAAAATGTTTTTCTGCTTGGTACTTTCTGTTTCAATTGGTCAGATAAAATATATCAATTCTTTGCATAAAAGTAGGTGCAGATGCAAGACTGCAGTATTGAAGCATAAAAAGGCACAGTTTCTTGTTATTTTGTCATTTTCTCTCCCATAGGGAGAGAAAAGTAGACATCAGATATCTTGCACAGAAAAAATCACTGCTGTTGCAAAATAACTCGGATGTGCTGCAATTGCAGCAGCATGTGAAATCATGCTACACCATATGAAAAATGGGATGGAATTTAAAGAGAGGGAAAAGGCCATCAAGTGGGATGGTAGAAACTTGAGAATATAAGAGGCAGGGACTCAGTTAATGGGAACTAACATGAAATCCATGGCACTGATGGTTTTTTTTTTAAGTAGCAGCCTATGCCATCATTATTTATTCAGATGGCTGGCAGGATGAGTGCCTTCGTGTTAAATATTACAGAAACCTTATTTAATTGCTGTTTTAAAGCAGGAGATAAAATGAACCTTAATCTCACTTTCAAACTATAGAACTTTATCTTTGAACAATGCTTACTAATTTTTTAATGCTTCGAATTTTCCCATCAGACTTCACAAGGTTGTCAGTGTTTTTACATTGATGATCGATCTTACTTTCATTTTATATTGCGTCACTGAACTTGGTAATTTTTCATTTTTTACTTTTTTCATACTGCATATTTAATTTATGTTGCTTCTTGGAAATTATTTCCCTCAGAAGGATGCTATCTCAGCAGGTATCCTGTGCACATGTTCCTGCTACCTCTGTCTCTTGCTGAATTCTGATCTTACAAAAATGCATAAACCACTGCTCTTACTGCAGAAAGTATATTGCTTTACAGGCTGCTATAGTGCTACATGTTACATATTTTCAGTATGTGGTGGATTTATGGTGGTCTAAAACTTGCAATAAATTAAGTACTACTTTTCATTATTGATAATTAGGTAATTGGAGCTCTTTAAGGTGGTGCAGATATGACTGAGGTATGTGGGAGAGTAGTGTTAAAATGTAAAAGGAATAATGACCACTCATTTATTTGAAACAGAGGCCTATTTATTTTCTGCTTGCTTTTAGTTTCACGAGTTTCATAGCAGTTGTAAATGAATCATTTGATGCTCATATCGTATTTCTCCTCTGGTGTTGCAGTGTCTTCTCTCTACAACGGCCTTTGGACAAGGAGTATTTTTCATTACATTCTTTGAGGGCCAAGAAATAGGTAAGCCATCTAGTTAAAAAAAAAAAAAAAAAAAAAAAGTTATTATTCTTTCAAAAAAATTAGAGTTGGAAATGTTTATTTTTTTCTGAAAAAAAAGACCTTTAATCGCAAGTAAACAGGGTACTTCATAGTGGAAGAGAAAAGCCTTTTTAGCACCTCTTGAAAATCAAATTAAGCTTGTGCCACTTCCTATCAGTAAATGAAAGTGGGCTTAGAACTACTCTTAGAACTGCAATGCAAATGATTGAAAATCCTCACAGATGTCAGTAACATTTCCTAACACTTCAGTTCTCCAGTGTTCTCCAGTTAGGACTTATACAGAGATTTTTTTGAGGTAGATGTGTGGGGGTTCACACATGCACTTGTGCATAACATGGTAGAGATTGATGAAAACAGTATGGTACAGGGCTAGAACAATCTAAGTTGTTCACTATCAGTGTGAAGCTAACATAAATGTTTAACCTCTATGCACCAGAAAGTAGAAGAAAATGACCTTTGGTTAGTAAAATATTCTGTACTTTTCTCCTTTGTAACCTTATTTGTACTCAGCCAGACTGTATGAGCTTGGAGACAGGTAGTGAAATTTTCCCTTAAAACTACTGTGAAGGTGCAGAAATGCATGAGCACACTGCATTATCTTTAAGTGCCAGAAAGAAAAAGTACTTTGGAAACTTGCTAAGCACAAGTGAACCTTTCTATCCCTAAGCCAAGTGCTGCTCCCTGTTGATGCTGAAATTGGAGAAGTATTTGGGACCTTGAGAAATATCTACAATACTTATGTATTTAAGTATAGAAAAAAATGTAATCTCTTCATTTTGTCATTAGTGAGGTGGATCAATACTAATAGCAATACATATTTCAAACCACTAAGTATTGGGAAAATACTTAATCATAATTATACAAAGGTAGATGAGTGGAAGTTTCTTGCA